CGAGATTCCACTGAAGTGAAAATAATTAAAGCTTTCACGCGTTTCACACTTACTGTTAGCATATCTATCATTCCATGTTTCACACCTTTTTCAAGAGAATAACAAAAGACAGTTTTTCTGACTCACGCTAACTTTTCAATGACAGTTCAACTTCAACGGCTCTTTGAACATTGCAGCAGTACGTGAGAAGTTGGATTTTGTGTGTGCCTTGGACGCCATGGTAAGAAAACTGATATCCTTGATCTGTTTTGACATTTTTCAATCAAAGTGATATCGGAATGCTTTAATTGGTGTGCCAGACGATAAAACCAACTAGGAAATTTTAACCGTTAGTCGTAAAAAAGTTAAAGGTCAAAATTTTCTTTTAACATTCCCGCACTATAGTGTGTGATCGTGCACGCGGGAGAAGAGCATAATGGGATTGTTGTAAGCGACCGTGACTGACGTTTAGACAATTTACCAGTGAGAATAATTGTCGAATTCACTCCCTAAGCGTGAGATTCACCCAACAAATCAAGTAACACATGTAATAAAAATATATAAGGTAAAACAGGTTTAAACCCTCAAGAGAAACTGAAGTCATAGCAAATGATTATAACTCTTCAGCCGAAACCTTCGATTTTGGGAAGGTGAGTGTTGAACTGGGGCAAAATTGTGTTGGAAATGTGAAAAATCCATTACAAGCATAGTGATAGACATTTGTTAAGCAAATACTTGATCAAACTTACCAATCAAAAGAGGTGGAGAAGGAACGGAAAAAGAACTCAAAAAGTTCGCCAGGCCAAAGGCTGAGGCTCTCCTCTATGCTTCCACGCAAGTTAAAAGTAAAACATTCATTGCAGTTTATATCAAACCATTTCCAATGCCAAAAAGACACTGCATAAAATGAAACGAGTTTGACTATTTGGCAAAGGAAGAAGAATAACAGATACCGCGGCAATAAGGCTGCCCACTTGAAAGACATAGCGAGGGTTGATTCGCGTTAGATTACATACAGGACCTGCTAACAGTCTTGCAATACACGAGGCTAAACCATAGAACATCAGCTAGCCTGAGGATTTGCAAGCTGAGAGCCCTCGCTCTTCTGCATACTTCACCTGAAAGGAAAAATGTCGGCGTGTGATACCCAAGGATACCACTTAACGACTTTACGATCCTTTACTTTACTCGGTGGAACTAATCTGCGAACGTAAATCGCCTACGGAGGTTCGAGAGAGTCTACATTCAAACAAAAAATTCTGAAAATGATCGTTGTTCCAAGGAAAGTTTTCAAACGATCCTTTTCTGAAATACCTCTGATAATCTGGAGCATTCAAGATCTTGAAAGCGATCTAATCACAGATTCCCCACCACCACTCGCAAATTTTCACACATTCAGAGTAAAAACGTATTCCCACAAGTTTTGTGGTCAACTCGATGTCTTATGACTCGCCCCATTCTTCAATGTGGCTCCTAGTCAAGTCTCCTCCTAACCTGATGATCTCGTCCCCAGACATGGTTACGTCCTTCCAAAAATTTAGATTCATTTGGTCATGCCTGTTTGAGCCATGAAGTACTAGAAGTATGGGATCAATGTCAGGTTCTAAACAACTGCGCACCTGCCCCTCCCCTAACCTAACTTTAGCCCTAACTTGTTATCAGTTGACTGTTGTTGGACCAGGGGAGGGGTGAGTGCGCAGTTGCTCAGATACCGAGATTGATCCGAAATAACAATGGTCCGCGCAAGTATATAACCCTCAGCGAGTTGATCAAATCATCAATAGCTTGGTAAGTGCCCCCTGCGGTTATTATCTGTTTATTACTCAAAAAAAAAAAAGAAAAGCGGCCTCAATACTTACTACATGAGTTTGAGCTAAGGACTCCCCAAAGCGATCCGAAAAAATTGCCAAGTTTGGCTGTTGCCTTATTTGATTCTTTTCTTGTACACTAGGATCTTACGCAAGCGCTGCAATTCCGATCACAAATACAGTTCCACCAAGGAATCTTAGTGTGTTTTCCAAACCAAAACTGTCTAGCAAAGCTTGAGTAAGCAGTGCCAGCGCAGACCCAGTCCACCGGAAGACATTAGTATCCTTGTGGCAAAAGGCCTCCTTTCATGGAAATATTTTGCAACAACCAAGTAACCTGACACACTAAGACAGCAGATACCGAACCCAACAAACAAGCTGTAAGTCAAATAGTAGACGAAGGCACTTTTGGCAAATGATGCTAAAACAAGTCCAACTGTTGAAGACAGCACCCCAAGCATGGTGACAAAGCGGCAGCTAAATTTATCCAGCAGACGACCAGCCACAGGACTGGAAAAAAGTAATAGAAAGTATGCTAAGGAAACTATCCAAGCTGAAAAGGAAAAGAAGGTTAATGTTCATCACAAAATGTAGGCAGTTTTGTTCTTTAACCCTCCAACTCCCATAAGTGATTAAGAGAGAATTTCTCCTTACAATACCAATACAATAGCAGGCAGACAAGTGATGAGAATACAGAAAAGTATCAAGTAGGGGATTTTTAGTTGATCAAATATCAAATTCTCCAAAGAAACATTACAGACGGCCAGTAAGGAGGATAACTAATGAGATCTCTGAGGGTGAAAGGGTTTACAGAAAGATGAGTCAGGCACAATAGTGATGGAGAAAAAAGGTACCACATCCCAAATTTCTACACTGGTTTAGTCTGCAATGGAGTCAAGAGATCAAACTAAGGCCCTATAAAAACTATGGACCATACCCCCCAAGATCTGATTATTAATTCTCTCTTCTGGCTTCAACTCATTCCCTTGTAAATTAGTTAAGAGACTTTGGTGATAGATCAAGATAACAACTTCTACCCGTCTAAGTTTGAGTATTCTCATTACCCGCTTGCTCGATAATGTATGGATATTATAGAGAGAAGTTACATGTTAATCACTTCTGGGAGGTAAATGGTTAAAAGAGTGAAGTAGACACAGTATGCAATAACAAGGCTAAAAGGATTTCAACACCTCAGTCACTACATTTGAGAGTGATTAGTACTTTTAAAAAGTTATTGCAATTACCTGTAGTTAAATAAACAAACACAAACTTGATTTTGCCAGAAGCAGTTCAAGCTTTGATAGGTGGCTTTGGTTCCACTGCCTCAAAGTCTCACTGGAGTTTCCTTCAGAAAAATCCTTGAGGCTGAGGATGAAAATCAACCACAAACCCAATACTATTTGATGCCAGATTTAGAAGTCAAACCCAGGCCATCGTCAGTGGTGATAGATAAATTCTCTTACTACCTTGCCCTTCCTCCTCACACAATATATCCCAAATACAATTGTTCAAGAATTGTCTGCGGTGAAGATTTTTCAAAATGTGCATTTGTTTTGTACGACCTTGATGCAACTGGGTGTGAAGAAGCTTGTATGACTAATTCTGATCTCATTCATCCAAATGTGATTAGCAGGTGCCAAACAAAAAAATACAGAGCTTGACACTGAAGTAAATTCTAGTTTCTGCTGGTTACCTAGAATCCAATCTCTTTTTTTCTCCTCTCTTTTTTTCCATTTCATTGCTCTTTAGAGATGGCACAAAACTCCCTAATTTTTAATTTATACTAACTTTAATATACCAGTATCCCAAATTTTTATTATATACTATGTTCACAGCACCCCTTTACACCCTGGGCATCGCCTTCCATAGTTACAATAGGAAAGAGTGAATTTAGCAATATGAGAACTCAAGAATGTAATCATGATAAATTGTTGTGCAAAAATAAGAATCTCCACAAGGACCAACCACTGTTCTTCAAAATGTGTGGTCTTATTCAATGAAAAAGCAGCTGTGTTTCAGATGAAGACCTCAAAGAACTAGGCAGTTGTCAGTGTCAATGAAGGTAAATAAAAGATCTGAAAATGATCTTGACCGTGTCACATAATTCAAATGTGACAACAACATACCATATTTCCATCAATAAGCACCCAGGTGCTTCTGTAACATTTTGGTTAAAGCAAGGGTACTTATTGGAAGGATGGTGCTTAATCAAGGGGGCACATATTAAGAAAGTGCAGCAATAGGTAGGAAATATATATGCAAATAGAGGGAGTAGGCAAGCGCGTGGAGATAGAAACAACTGGAATGGGAAAGAAAATATTCTCCTGTACTGATTCTGCTGTAGTTGAAGCTTGAAAAGTTGTTAGTAAAGTGGCAATAGGAACAAGTTTTCCTTGAATCCCTACTTTTAGGGAACTGAGGAAGAAGGAGCAGGGGGTGCTTGTTCACAAGGGGCACCTATTTGATATCATGGCCTAGGGGGGTGGGGTGGGTGCTTAATCAGGGGGGGCACTTGATAGAGTTTTTATTCAAGAAAATACTGTAATTAGAAATACAAAAATACACATGATTTAATTTGAAACTTGAGTTACATATATTAAGCGTAAAAATTTATGCGCAAATCATATTGTTTCCGACTAAATCAAAATCTGTCTCAAAAAACCAAGATAAAGCTAGTAACAGGGTGATGAAAGACGATGATAATGAAAGATTGCAAACATTTGTCCAGAACACCAGAAATTAAAAAGAAAAGCCCTGGATGATTGAAACACCTGCTATAACGTCGTATGCCCCGGTAATCTCGAACCCAGATCCTACCTTGTAACTGTGTATTACATGTATCTTGTCTTCATGAGTTAAAGCGTTCCATGATGACTAGAAAAAGGACTCCAAAGTTCAAAAAAATGCCCATGTTCACCGCTTGCCAGACAAAGGCGCAAACGTACATATCAGAAGACCAGCCACTATCTTGCTTGCGCCGAAGCCGATTTGGGCCATTTTTATCAAAGAAAAACATCGTTCGGTGTAATAAATTGAAGCGGAACTCCTGAATTTTCTCTGCAAGTGAATACTTCATCATTTGATTGTCCAAACTGGCATCGCAAACTGTGCGTGACTGTCTGCGTGACTACTAAAGAGCGTGTGACATTAGATCAGCTGAAAGGGATAGGCCGCTGGAACTTTTCCCTGAAGGCGCAAGGACGCGGCTTTTCTATTCATAGCGTGACAGGAAACGAAAATAAATTGTTTATCTCCCATTGCGATCGATTACCCTGTTTGCAATGAGCATTAGCGATGAACCAGATGAACTACAGGATTTATAAAATACCTCTGCCGTCTGGTTAGCTGTTGACATGGTTCCTTGTCGTGGTCAAATTTTTTCTTTCAAGCAAGATAGCCTCTGGTCGTGGTTTGTTTGTATTAGTACGACATTTTGTATGGTATTGACGGTTGGATTTATCTTCGCTCTCGGTGTTTTCCTTCCTGTCTTCATGGATTCTTTCAACGAAAGTCGCGAAAGAACAGGTTAGTTTTGTTTAAATCGGAGTGATCTGCTTGTTATTTCTGTGAACTATACCGATATGTATTTTGAACGAATTTCAGTTTCCCCGCGTTACATATGATAATAATTAAGCTATGGAAACGGAGCGCAATATAAACAGCGTTCAAGGTTCCGATCTTACTGGATTGCTTGAAAAATCGTTCCTCCCAGAAAAGAGAAATAGTGTTCCTGTTTAGACGGTCGGAACAGGAAATTGTATAATTATGTAAAAGACATATTTTTTTAGTTCGTTCGAATCCATTCAAGTCGTTCCTTTTAAGTTGATATCCTGCGGGTATCGATTTGGATGCGATTCCATGCTTGTGACGTACGTTTCCAGTTTGACTGAGGAAGAGAAGGAATGCAACAGCAAGAAGTAAGTAACACAGCGGGGAAAAAGGTGTAATCGATGAAATCTGTGCAAAGCAATGAATGAAAGGGAGACACGGTCTAAGAATCACTACATCAAAAATTCCAGCTTGCTTTTCGTTGTATAATATAGAATCAGTGTATTTTTGCCCCCTTGTTCTTGTCCGCAACGTAACGCCAAGCATTGATTTTCGAATAAAATCAAAGAGGGAATGGATAGAGTTTTTACCCAAGTGATCCACCATTTCCGGCTCAAGAAAGGGTAGCAAAGTAAGGGTCCTGATCCCGTTTTGCACACGAATTTTAGAAAAATTCGCACACACGTGTACTTTAAACAGGATTTCACGCGTCACTAATTATAAAGAAAAAAACTTCAAATCCCTGTTTACCTTCAGTTGCCTTTCTGTAACATTCACGCGTCACGTACTAATATTGGGCTTAATCACTCGTCACTTATAAACCCTTTCCCACCCTCGGGAATAAAGGAGAAGTGATGAATACTTCGGCTAGCATTAAGCAGTAATCTGGTGAAAAGTGTTGACGAATAGTTTATGTAGCATCCAAGTCGTTTTTACAGGCCAGAGGTGGGTTTTAATCGTGTAAGACAAATGCACAGAAAAGTATATTATGTCACTGGTCCTCAAAACCCTTAAACACAGACGTACTTGCGGTTGTTTCTTCTCACACTATGTCGGACAAACTAAGAGAATTAAGAGAAAGAGAACACTTATGCACATATCAAATACTGAATAGCAGTATTTTTAAAAAAAATTATACACTTTACAGTCTCATTTTCACACGAGAATGCCGTCATCTTGGAATTTGAATTTGACCTCAAAGTCCTGGGTATCGTTAATCTTGTACCAAGATCCTACTGTGTAACTTTAACTGAAGTGTGCAACTACTTGACCGTGAAAGTTTTGGTTACGAGACTAGGATATCGTGCACCCAGAACGTCCTACTCGATTGGGACTTATATGAAATTCAGAGCTGGGACTGAGCTGCAAAAGTTAAATTGGCTTAAACTCCTTCATCCGAGCCCAGCATGTCTGGGGGCTCTCTTGGGCGGTGACTCTTCAATCATGTCCTCACTTTCCCCTCCTTCTCCCCCGCCTAAATAAGTATTAGTCACGCACACAATAATTATCATTATTATTACTATCGTTATCATCATTATCTATATTATTGTCATTGTCATCATCAATGTTATTATTACTATTATTATGATTATTATTGATATTGTGTATCATCATCATTATTATCATGGTCATCATTATTATTTTTATATCTTATTTTTCTCACTATTCTTGCAGCATGGGTGAGTTCTATCATTATGGCAATATTTTTATTCTTTGGGCCTGTAATTGGCGTCGTCGTTAACCGTTTTGGATGCCGTTTGGCCAGGATCGTAGGTTGCCTGTCCTGTGCTGTCGGTCTCGGGTTGGGCTCCCTGGCTCCGAACATCATAGTTCTATATGTAGCCTTTTGTATACTCTTCGGCTTTGGTACGTCATTCATTTACCTTTCCTCGCCATTGATTATGACCCACTACTTTAATAAGAGAAGATCCGTGGCTCTTGGAATTGTGACAGCTGGTCAAGGTCTGGGAACTATGATATGTGGTCCCGTTTTACAGGTGATGGCTGCCATGTCCAACTGGAGGAAGACTTTTCTCATGTTCGCGGGTATTTTGGCTCTCTCTTCCTTGACGGGCTGCTTTCTGAAACACGATAGCTCCAGATCCACAGCTTCGTCGACCCAAGGCGAGAAAAATTCAAAGAAGTTTGGTTGGAATATAGCTGTTTGTAAGAACCCCAAATTTTTGGTTTTACTGGTTATGAGTACACTTTTCAACTTTGTTCGGATGATTCCTTACGTACACTTGGTGAGTTGCGGTATTAATTTGCATTAGCTATCGCGCATGGATTTACGTCATATTACGCAGCATGAAAGTTTAGCCTAGCATATACCCGTTAATAAGAAAGAAGCAGTTCCCTAGAGTATTATCACATGACTTTCAACTCCTGTACGTCATGATGACGTCAGAGGGAGCTCAATCAATAGAGAATGTTTCCTCTCTGATGAGGGCTTGGGATGTTAACCATCAAGGAGGTGTTAACAAAGTCAGATTTAACAAGAACTTGCAGATGTGTTCGCACTCTCAGATTTTAGCACTCTCAGAAGGTTGCTACGTGATCTCATTTAGACACCCAAAAACAAATTTTTAGAAAATCAATAGCAATTATAAATGCAATGCAATAATTATTGCATTTTAATTTAAGTTTCGCTTTCTTCAACAAATTAAATTAAGGCCTATACTTAATGGGTAAACAAAACGTACAAGTTAAGAAGCTTACTCGCCGAGTCCAGAGGGCAAACGCTTCAATCGTTCCACTTGCGAGACGCAAAAATATATGGAATGTGTGACATGCTGCAGTATAGATTTCTTATTAATTTATTTCTTTCATTATGTTCTTAGATAAAACACTGCGACGATCTTGGCATTCCAGCAGATAAGAGTTCCACACTTTTCACTTTTATGGGAATATTTGCCGCCATTGGTCGTTTGTGCGCTGGCTGCCTTTGCGACCTCAAATATGTCAACTCACGCCTCCTCTACCAGGCAAGCGTGTTATTGAGTAGCGCCTCGATCATGCTTCTAACGGTGCCAAAGACTTACACCCCACTGGCTGCAGTAGTCATAATATTCAGCCTAGGGGACGGACTGGTGGTGTCAACATACGTTATCGAGCTGTTCAAGTCTGTAAAGGAGTCAGAAAGAGCACTTTGCCTTGGATTTTGCATGATGGCAGGTGGGGCCCTAATCTTCTGCGGCCCGCCTTTAGCTGGTAAGATGTCAAGACCTCTCCTTTTCTTTCCACCGTTCAAACTCTCCAAGTCTTTTTTCTCTCCTTTCTATTTGGTTTTGAATCAAGATTAGTGGCACCCTCAAACTGTAAGGGTCGTAAAATCAAAATAAATAGAAAAATAATAAATCAAGTTCTAGTAGTGGCGCTTCCACTAAAGGGAAATGGAATTTTGAGTAATTTTTTTCGGTAAAAGTTAAACCGGAAAAATCCGAGAAAACGTCGTAAGGCCGGTTTCCAACATGGAACTCCACTCCACAGTTAACGCCAAGTTTTGGAATCGAACCTAGTTCACAGAGGTGGGAGGCGAGCGCTCTGACCACATTCTCTTTACCTATTTTATGTATGATGTGGTGAAGTTGTGGGGAGAGGTGGCATGTTAATCAGCCCTAAGAATTGAAAGTTTAAGCCCAAGGGCTACCGAACAGTAAGTTTCTAGTCCCATTAACCGGACATTGCGAACTTTCTCTTAGGAGCTGAGTGATGTTTCAATCTGGAAGCTACGATCTATTACTTTACTTTTACAAAAACAGTTTAGGTTCATGTCTGTGAATGAATAGGCGTATTGTTGATCAGAACTTTTATTTATCCCAAATTTAGGTCTTATGGCAGACAGATTTGGAAACTACATAGCTGCATTTCTCGTGGCGGGAGGTGTTGGGGTTGTCAGCTCCCCCATCCCTTTTCTCATTCCGTGTTTCGAGCCGCAAAATAACGGCGGAGATCCCGTGGAACATCTTGAAGAATTGATGGACAAGGATATATGTGTTTCTCCACCAGACTACAAATCTACAAATGGTGATATTCCCAGAACAGTTTATCCTAAAGAGTCAGTAGAGTCGTTGAATGCAAAAAGGACGTCTATGGTGCGCGCCGCGTCTAACAGGCCTGTATCGTTTATGTGGGCCATGGAAAGTCCTTATAATTTGTAACAAAGTATTCTATTCCAACTATACTAACAGAGTAGAGCGCTTTTCCATTCAGTGTCATTGAACCATAATCAAAGTAATTACAACAGCCAATCAGGAGAAAGGAAAATACCTTGAAGAGCCAATGAGAACTCAAAATAAAAACTAAAGCGCGGGAAAACGCGGGCAACCAAGCCGTGAATGATTTTAGTTTTGCGTCTGATTGGTTGAGAGAGTGGTTCGAATTTTCTGAACCAATCATAGAGTGACGTAAATCAAAACTAATACAATCCCAAGTTACTTTCGACACTCAATTGAAAATTTTTCTAAGATCAAAGCGTTCCGGGGACAAAACCACAGATAGCGTTGGATAAGACCACACCGTTTTTAAAAAGTGTGCAACTGTTTCTGGGCGTTCTTTTGATTTTCTAATTGTGAAAATAAAGGACAGAAAAAATATTTTCTATCTTCTATCTTCTAAAGTCTATATTTAAATATAGACTTTACCCTTAAAATCCCAGGATCTGATTGTTAATTCTTTTCTCTAGCTGCTACACATTTAATTGTAAATTTGTTATAAGAATTCGGTGTCAGATCGAGATAACAAATTGTTAACGTGCACGACGTGAAATCAACGTATTAATTGATATATGTAGAAAATTGACAATGAAGGGTCTTGCGATAACCTCTTATACGCCCAACCGGAAACGTAAAATGATATTTTTAATCCTATTTCGAGTAAGTAGCTTAATTTTTGCCCGAGAACTGTATTTTTAAATACGTTTCCGTGATTTAGCACTTACTTGTTACCCAGTTTACGGCTATCCCGATCAAGAAAACTCGCTATTGAAGTAAGTTCATGATTATTTTCTATAATATCGTCAATCATTTCAGTTTTGTGGATTTATGTGGAATTTATGAGCTCTGATAGTACGTGCTTTGATTTGACGACTATTGACCGCATGGTATACTGATTGATGGCAACGTTTATATCAATTACTCCCGCTTCGCTCTTTGATTGTTTTGTTTACTACTAGTTGATTTAGTTAAGTAGATTGTCTTGTAAAGTTAATATCAGATCGAAGAAAAATCAGTTATACGATTGCGAGTATTCTTCGGTAATGGGCCGTCTTGGTTTTCACGCGAAACACAAGTTCTACCTTATACTTTGAGTGTTCTCGTTACTTGGTTGCTGGATAACGTATGAATATTATATAGGGAGAAGTTCCATGTTAATCAGTTGTTAGAGTTATAGGGTTAAATGATACGTCAAGTGTTTGAAAATGGAATCTTTATTTTCTTATAACCAGATATAAATTATACAGAAAGACAAATTAATGTAACTTATTTTTCACTGGAGAATCGCAGTTTTAAGTTTTTTAATTTATAAAATATGAATAAAAGAATACACACGCAATCATGTACTTAGTAACTATCACAATAAGAGAGATGATAAATTTTTAACTCGGAAGTGGAGGAGAGATTTTTTTCGTCTTGTCAATGGTAGGGCAACTGAATTTCTGAGGTTCAATTCCTCGTGGAGAGTTATTATTTCGTAGTTATAGTACTGTATGCGTTCAAACCCGTTCAGGAACCAAAAGTAGAAGCAGTGTGTTGCTTACGTTGCTGAACGTCCTTTTTACTTATACAGCTGTGAAAATGAAAATCAGGAAAAAAGACCATTATCCACTGACATTTTAAAATGCTACTAAAAAGTAGCTTTTTTTTTTGCAATGGAGTCTTAATTACCACGAGAAAAAAATCTTAGGCACAGAAACAAAATTTAATAAAACTTTTTTATCGCTAAAGAATCACAGTGTGTGCGTTTTTAGATATTTCATTATTTATAGCATAGATATGTATATATATATATATATATATATATATATATATATATATATATATATATATATATATATATATATATATATATATATATATATATATATATATATATATATATATATATATATATATATATATGTATATATATATATGTATATATATATATATATATATAACTAACTGCAGACAGTACTGCTTCGGCCTTCTGGGCCTCATCAGTACCTGTATTTTACTTGCTTGTCTCCACTAACATGTCGTACGCAACAACTGACAAAGCTTGTAAAAAGAAAATTTCATAGGCGCCCACCCCTCCTCAGAGCAGCGCTTTTCATAACCTTCGATCAGGCGTTTTTTTGTTTTCAGTCCACAATCGCAAGCCTTTCGCACTCGAAAACCGCCTGATCGCAAGTTACGCTTTTTAAACCAACTATTCTTCAAGATACTACTTTCCTGATTTTTCTTTTTTCTATTTTCATGATACTAATTTCTATAATTCCGATAACATTTTGACCAACGTGAGCCTGTCAGTCTATAGAAGAATTCGCTGCAAAAGAATTTGCTACATGCTTAGTTAAGAGCGTGGTTATTGTTAATTATTGCTATTGTTCACTTTATGTCACCTTGGGATTTACTTTGCGCATCCAACCGTTTGATTGACAGCAGCTGAAACCTGCCAAGAGACTCATGTATTCTCAAAGCTTTATCTGCTGACCAATCACAACCGACTAATTCAAGATATGCAAATCATTATGCCGCCCGCTGACTATATGGGCACTGCAAGTACATGTCGCGAAAGACAATAGCATTCTGGGCGATTGTCAACAGCTTATTCGAGGAACTAGGCTCTAACAACAAAGAGATTATTCACTCACAGCAGGAGTAAAGTGCTCCTGCCCACGGCAAATGTCACTTATTTATTTTGAAAACAACGGTCATCATTCCATAATACGTGGGAGCCCAGCGGCCTAAGAAGTGCGATGTGACATTAGCACCCTCTTCACTTTCCTTTTCTAAAATACTTTGGAGAATTGGAATGCTTCTCCTGCCACAAGCCTTTGCTATTGGGTTGTCTTCAAGAATTCTGTCCAGCCACGGTGAACATTGTCTGGCCACCCACGGGTGAACCTCATCCACGTGACCTGAGATGAAATGTTTTGACCAAGTTATGAAGAACAATATACATTCAAAATGAAAGTTTTTCTTTAGTCAGTATTGCCCGCAAAGGTCTGGACCCAGTTGTTCAAAAGCTGAATAACGGTATCCAACGGATAAATCGTTATCTTGCGAAGAAACGTGAATGAAACCTACTGTTTTCACCGCCAATTAAAGATTCATCCCCCGTTTAGCGTTATCCATAAGAAAAGAACCTACAAAAATTCTGGTAAGTGAGGATTTAAAAATGAGAAGATCTACAAAGGTAGGGGTCCTGAGAGGCCAGCAGCACATACCCCCCAAAAAATGACCCAAGTACCCCACCACCCACCTCCCTCTTGTCTTGAAATGTTCCTCTTGACACTCTTAAGATAGAAATCCCATGCATTTCAAACATAAAAAGGTCGCCAGGTATAAATTTTGGTACAAATATGTACTAATACTATGTTCCTAAAGTGCAGTCTTCATACTGGGTAACCTGCTGTCAAATCCCCACCCAGAATACTCTTCTCATTCAACAGGGCTGGAATGTTGGACTTCAATTCTATGCTCTTTACTGAAGGAAAACAATAGCCATAAAGTTACAATCAGAGCCACTGAGGGCTGCAAATAGTTCTACTGACTGCTGCTTATGAATGTTAGCTCTGTATCAATGAGCATCATCAATCATCTCTCATCTCTACCAGTATCTTTTAGCACATCATCACCATATGGTATGCCTCTAGCCCACATCTCCCACATCCTGTCGAATTCCACTGCAATTTCTGATGGTTTCAAGTTGGATCTAGGGTCTAAGGAAGAAATTTTCTCAAACAATTATAGAACATTATACTGTTAATAACCCTTTACCTCCCAAGATCTCAGTAATTCTTCTTACTGTCTGCCAAATGATTCTCATTACCTTAGTTTGGAGAATTTGGTATTGGATCAATTAGTAATCCCATAACTGATATTTTTCTTTATTCTCATCACTTGTCTGAATGATATTGCATAGATATAGTAAGGAGAAATTCTGTCTTGGTCACTCACAGGAGTTAAAAGGTTAAAACAAGGCACCTTGATCAATTCCCATTTGCAAATTTCAGCCCACTCCACTGTCGCCATCCCCACAACTGATAAGTTAAAGGAAAATGACCAGAGTTTACATGGCAGGGATCATCTTCAAGTGCAGGTATTCATAGGTACAGATTAGTATATTCTATGAAAGTTCCAACCCTATTGAGCCAATTCAGGAGTCTGTGGGCTCTTGCCAGTGTGATTAATTAAATAAAAAGTTCACCAAAACAAAACACAAGAATATTTCTTACCCAACAGAAGGATTTTCAAATGAAAGATACAAATAATAATCAGTTATTGATGTTAGCTTGTGCTAGTTATTTTCCTCGTGAAAATATATTTCACCATTAAAGGAGAAGAAGGATTTTCATTATAGAACCATACCACAGGAGACCCACTGAAATTTTAGGTATCAACACGAAATGATTTTCACATGGGATTATGGATTTAACAGAGCTTAGTAGAAGATGGGTCCATCCTTAATTGTCAAATTTTCAACTCGGGATATTGATATTAGTGTTCTGATTGGTTCATTCACCTCCGGGCATCAAGCAAGCAGACCCTCATTAGTGCTGCAGGATAAAAAATTTCTCCACCTACAGGAAGATAGGAGATGAGTTGGGAGAGGTTTTACAGATGTCTGGCACTAATGGTAGCACCCTTAAAAACATCTTGCTGGCTAGAGTATCTCAAGGCCTCATATTTTCCTGTAGGCACAGAAATGCTTGTGCTGAAGTGCTAGTTCTGAGGGTCTTCTCTCAGGCTACCATTTTGACTGAATTGTATCAATTGTATTGTTTGATAAAAATGTAAAGGAACATGTCTCAATACATACTTCTTGGCATGCAGGGAATCTAATCACGACTACATTGACTGTAAAATTCAAAGTAACAGTGGCACAAACAGATTGTATGGGGTCTTGTGCAAGCATCTGGTTACTTTATCGCAGTATGTCGTTTTATTTTATCACCTTTCCGTGACAAAAAGGGGATCAAATGCAACCTTGCGCTGGAACCCTTAGCTATGCTGTTGGAGAGTTCTGTCTGTCACGCAATATGATACTCTCGAACAAGGTCATCGGGGTGTATGACAAAAAGAACACATAATCATGAAATGATTAGTATATAAATACCTGGCAAATACAGTGGAATATTGCAAGTTGTCTCATGCGTGTGAGCTAGATCTCCGCTCATTACTAAAGCTACCCGCTGCTCAAGACCTGAAACAAATTCGTGGAAAGCCTTCCCAATTACATCCAGTCCTTCAGTATTTCTCGCAGTAGCCACAATCACGTACTTCACCTTATCCGAGTCAGTCTTACTGTTAATAAACCATAGAGGCACAACCTCAGCCCACCTTATCGGTGCCTCCATCATAGAAAACGTTATGACACCATCTGCTTTAATCCCTCTCTGCTGAACAAACTCTAGAAGCTGAGCAGCGAGTTGAGAATCTAACGGAACATTCAGCTCGACTTCTCGCCACTCGTCATTCCACAGAGCATTTCCTTGCGTAACAGAGGCCAAGTAGATACCAAGCGAGCCAGATGACAGAGATAACCCATGTGGGGTAACAAGAATAACGACATCAGGGTTCATCTTGGCCAACAAGTCAGCTGCCCGCTCACAAGAAGAGTACAATGCAGAGCACTGTTTGATGAGCCCTGTAGGCATTGTGGAATTCCTTTTACGGCATGCGACGCTTTCCGAGTGAGGATCACCATCAAATATCATTGTTCCATGAGGCAGAACAGCTGCTCCGACCAAAACCATGTTGAAAATTTCCTTTACCTTAGAAAGTGAACCTTAATGGAGTTTTTCCGCTACTAACTGGATTATTGTTGTGTATGACACACGAATTATCCCACCTTACAACCACTGCAGCAGAGTAGGACAATGATCAATGAAATAAAGGGAAAATGAAAGACGTCAGAGCCTTTTCCAGGCGCTCAGTTAGTAAAACGAAGCGTGAACGAAAATTTAGTTACGGATGAGCGAAAAAACAGGGAAGACTTGTGTTGGGGTGTGCAATGAACACGACTCGACCCAAGCCTCCATCGCTTTTGCACTCCTCTGCTATAAACACACTTTTGCCTTTTCGCTCCGTTCGACAAACTGAACATCTGAAACAGGCTAAATACGCCATCAAAAGTAGACGTTTAAAACGTGAAACCAAGGAGAGACCCTAGAAACGAAGGAGCTTGAAATTACAAGGCTTCACGGGGAACCCAACTTCTCAACTTTGAACAGCTACCTCACGCTACCTCTACTTGGCATTCGTAACTCTCATGTCCTTAGATCATCGAAACTGCTTTAGAGTTTCAAGAAAACCAGATGGTAAAAGGACGCATAGTAGATGATCGCACTCGTGATAACAAAGTTACCGTGCCATCGAGGAAGGAGTCTTAGTTTTGTGTGTGAGAAGAATTGGCGAACCCTTGATAACTAACCTTTTTACCCCAACTGCAACATGATTTGCGATTCCCAGCGATGCAGACTCTCCTTCTTATGAGCACCGAGCTTAAGTACTGCAGGATGGACAAGTCTACCTCTATCGCTTACACCAGCAGCACATATATGCATACACATCGTGCATTTCATTCGTACACGATCATATTTCGAGCAAGCTTTCAACTCCTAGAAGTGTCGTGATTGAAACAGATTACTGGTTAATCTGATGCAAAACTAAAGCGTTCGCAAACGAATCATCCTCATCATTTTCCCGCGTTTGAGTACGCTCTTCATTTATGACGGTTTTGGTTATGATTACTTGTGACAATCGATCAAGGAGCGTCCTATTGCAAGAGAAACCAGGGTACCTTGTACCTTCAAATTAGCTGAACTACGTGCAGTCGTTCTCCTCCAGGAAAGCCGTCGCGCGAGAGTAAAAAAATAGCAGGGGTTAACGGGCCGCACAGAACTTTGAGAATAACGCGCAGACTCAGAGTTCCGCGAGGCGGGCTATCACCAGTTTCTTGTGTGTGTTTTACTAATATTTTTTAACTCGCCCAACGAACTTAGCCGAAACGGAGGGACTGCTCGTAGTCTACACACAAGTCCAAAAACCACGTCGTCAAAATCGTTTCAAAACCGTTATTTTATTGCTATTGCCGCATAAATTAAATACTCCTATTATATATAATTTGTTTGCACTAATCAAAGGCATAAAAAATGGACAGTAACAAGCGAGAAAATTAGGAGAAAAGCTTAGAAAGCATGAGTATGGATAAAAAGTGAAAATATTTCCCTAGAAGAAAATACTCAAGCTCATCGACATTTCACGCGGACAACACACGGAAACAGTTTGACGATCTTGGGGAATTCATTTAATTTCTTTACTGAAGCTTTGAGATAAGTTTTCAGTTAAGAAGGAGAAAGAGAGAGAAAAACAACAACAATAACAACAACATAACATATGTGAGAATGTCCGGCATCAAGTTCCTGAAGTTACATGCGACTGACGAATCGGTCAAATGAAAAACATAAATAAAGTTAAGACAACAAAAATAAATAGGATCTTGATCGTAGTCCCCGTTTGTTAACTGAAGGTCCTCTCGAGGTCTTTAAGCGTCATTATAATAAATTTCTCATTGGTGCACACCCAAAGAAGAGGAAAGAAGATTTCGTCTGTTCTACGACCACGATTAAAAGAAAATGATTTGCAATCTGTCACACATTTTAAAATAACAAGATTTACTTGCAATTTAGCGAGAAAACGAGTTCAAGCAAAGAATGAAGTCCACTCTTATCACTGCTTTCCTAGGAATCAAGTCAACTGTCTCAAGTCTTCAGAAGGATAGCACAAAATGCCGATGAGCTCAATGGTTTGGATGAGAGAGTAATAAGAGAGTATAATACAAATTCAACACCACAGCAGGCATACCGCGTCAAAATTTATACAAAAGTTTCCTATTGTGTTACACAGCCGTGCTTCCACTGCCTAGAAAATGAAAGGGACAGTAAAGAAATGACATGATACTGGATATGTGCAGCTAAAACATAGCAAGGTGCCAAGAGTTTAGATATCTAGATTAGTAAATTTGTATTTACAATAATTCAGTGGTGTTTTTATAACTACCAAGAAAGAAAAATATAGCCACACCGTCAAGGTAAAAATCATAAAGACGCATTTTACAGATTTTACTTCACTTACCAGATTTGGAATTCCTAGTGATGGGCCCCCATAACCGTACGGTTCCGTCGTCACTGGCTGAAGCCAACATATAGATATCCCTGGGGTTCCAACTGACACAATTTACTGTTCGCGTGTGTCCACTAAGTACTGCAACTGGTTTTTCACGTTTGAAATGCCAAATGTACACCTTGTGATCTGTGACAAGCATACGATATTTGTTACTGGATATTTGCGGCAATGTCTCATAGGTTAAAATGATTATGTAAGAGTCAGGACTAAGTTTACGATAGGTCGTCGTATTTTTGAATGCTAAACGCCAACATAAACTTCAAGCAGTGAGTGAAAAGCACTAAGACCTCTTGGAAACTTTGCCTCATCAGCTGCAATCGCAGGAAAACCAAGTAATCAAAATGTAATGGGTAGACCTCTTAAGCTGTTTGAGATCATCGTGTTATTTTCTTGATAGGAACGAAATTCTATTCGCAAATTTGTTCTGGCCATTTACATCGAAGACGACGAAACGTTACAGAGTAAAATCAAGCTTCGTGGGTCACGCAATCCGATAGCACACTTTTATTCCTCAGATAGCCAAGGGTTTTCTAATCTAGACACACAATTTTTCAAAATGACATTCAGCAAAGACCATCCATATCCCTTCTAACACTCACTGAAAATTACCCGGTTACCTTTATGCAGTGTACCTACAACTACCTCTCGTAATGCATGTTTATTGTAAATTTTGACATTGATTCCTAGCTAGCAATTAAATGATCACCGTCACTTACAGTCAGCCTCACCTTCACTGCCACTGGCGAGAAAATCTTGATTAGCACCACCGAAACACGAGTATATAGTGAACCTGGCTTGCCTCACACCTTGGTATTTTCTGACTAGAACTCGATCTCTAATATCCCATAAATGAAGTCCCTGCAAGGATGGTGAAACACAACATAAAATTGAAGGTAAATTTTCAAAACACCCGAACCATAAAATTTTTCCCTGGAGAAGGCACACAGCGGATATCCATACCTGTGAAGCTACGTTTAAAAGTGCCCGTCGATCATCATCAGATACAGAAAATGACATAATTGGACGGTCTTCTTGTACTCTGAGAATATAAACAAACAAACAAAAAATCGACACAAAGGAAAAAAAAAAGTAGCATAGTCACAATATCTTTGATAACTACCATTTTGATGAAATTAACACACAGTGACTGTCAATTGAATGGTTAAAGTGTGAAAACACCTTCGACTGTCTCTCATAATCACTGTTTGGTGGAGTGGTGCTCACCTTTGGTACTGATAACTTTGTTCATACATTTTTAATTACATACAAACAAAAAATAACCAAATTTAACCTGTGTATGATACAGGCAAAACTGATAAATTGATCCTCAAAGGTCACAGGCAAATAAAGCGATTGAAGAAAGTAGATGCCAACCCCAAATAAAAGTCAAACGTTAATAAGCCTCTCAGAAACCGCTTGGGCAATATCACAAACTGTGCTGAAAGCCCGGGCTACGTCGTGAGCAAGGAGAATTTTCTTGGAAACCTCGTTCCCTTTGAAGAAGAAATGAAGCCCTTATTCTGTCTCAGGCTTTACTTTTGGCACTTGCTTTCAAAAATGATTCGTTCTGACGAAGCGCTAACGCTCGAAACGTCAGCTTTGAAACTCTTTGCGGTGTCCAATTTACATTATCAGTTGATCCACTCAGTTGATAAAAACAAATTATCTTGCTTTCATTTTACTTTGCCCCGCGAGATAACTTCGTCACCCTCCACAGAATTTCACAAGTACTTACAAGTTATCCTCGTTTAAATTTTCAAAATTGTAAGTTCTAATTCTGTTGTGTGTATCGGAGGCAAGAACTATTTTTCCGTCATTTAGACAGTGCAGTCCCATAACTCGAACACCTTCCCAAGATTCCAACACGTTTCCATCAAGGTCCTAGAAGAAAGAGGAGGAAAGTTCTTCATCTTCTTGCTTTTACCCTATCTAAAAGTCCTATATGTTTGCCCATACAAACACCAATAAAGCAAATAACATTGAAAATTGGGATTAGTCCCTGTTGTTCATTTTTTAAGATGTGTCCCTTTGACGAGGACAAAATTTTAGATAATGTATGTTTGAAATAGCTCTTCTACTATGAACAAGTACAAGACAGTCTTGCAATAAAGCAGTAAATCTGTCACAGTTTCAACTGCAGGAAGTAACGAGCTGTTTTGTGACTCCATCCAATCCATGCTCATCCAATCCAGATTACCTGAATGGCATTTAAGTTACTTCTCCGAGGGGAAAGAAAAACATTTTGAGTAGAGTGAATGTCTTTCCAGTGAACTAAACACAGTAACCCCTGCCCAGCCAGGCTCTGGCCTGGAGCTTACGATCCTGAAATCTGCCCATTGGGCAGTCGTATCTTTCTGTAAGCAAGGGAATTATCAACCCCTGCTTGAAGAAAGTCAAAGCTCAACATTGAAACTCCAACAAATAGAGCAGTTTCAACCGAGATTGCTTTGACACTAAGTTGCAAGTTGCCATACAAAAGGGCAAACGACTTACACATTGATAAAACTGTCCTCTTTTGCCACCTGCATAAAATTTCCTTCCATCAGGGTTCCAGCTACAGCAAGTTAGACTATCATCTGCAGCTTGGGTCATTCGACATTTCAGTTCTCCTGTCTGACAGAGCCAGTAGCAAATCACGAACAAATCTTATCACACGTTTCAAAATTATTTTATGTAAATATACTTGTCAGTACCTTTGAAGAGAAAACCCTAAATTTAAAATTTCTTAAGCCAAACCAAAAAATACACATACGACCTGTCTCTTAATTAACATGTACCATTCACATAAAGATTCACCTTCCTTAAACACTTCTCTGTACAAAGTTAAGAAAAGCAAAATAAGCTTTGAAATGATCTTGTCAAAGAGTTGGTGTGGTGCCATTGTGGTGACACTGTCAATCATACAAATGAAAAGAAGAAGAAATGGAGAGCATGGGAAGGTACAGTGGTTGGGAAGTTCTCACTTCCTATACCCTGCTTTTCATCTTCCTGCAAGTCTGCCCATTATCTTCCTTCCATTATTTCAGAATATTGCAAAATTGAGAAAAAGAAATACCTAAACTTTTGCCTTTGGCCAACTTCTTCTTAAATTCACTATTCTAGCCAGTTCCTACCCCTTTTCCTTAGCACATTCTTGTCAAATAGCAAGCACATCAATTTTTTGCAAATAAAGCATTTGCCCACAAAGATAAATTAATTGTTAGTCTGTGAACCAGTGCCACAAGCCTCACAACTGAAACAGTGGGTGACCAAAGCATACCTCTGTATTCCAGATCCATAGTTCAGAGCAGTCATCTGGACCACAAGCAATGATATAAGTATCATCAGGACTCCATGCCAATTCTCCAACTCCAAATGAAGGACCTTCAAATGCTCTAAGATTTGTGGGTTCGCCATTCTGAACAACAGAAAAAGAGATATTTGATGTTATAACCATCAAAGAGTATTGACTAATATGTAAGTAATAACATCTAACAATTTAAAAAACAATATGAATACTAATATTAAAATTGAACACTAAGTTGAAAAAAAAAATTTAAAAACCATAACTTAAAGGCTAATTAATTGTTTGTTTCTTCTCCTTCTCTCCCTCAATATTATAAATATTTCAGAGTTAACTTAGAACATAGCTTAAGCTATAAACATATAAGACATATTACAGGCATCACTAGAAATTTTCATTGATTGCAACACGTTCCAAACCAACATAATTTTGCTGATAATAAACAGTAGGCAAGAATCTAAGAAGGAGAGCTTGTCTCTTTACCGATACATCCCAGATAATGACAGTGCCATCTTTTGATCCAGAAGCAAGTTTTGTTCCATCATGAGAAAACTTAAGAAACCAAACCTGTAGTGACAAGACAGTTTTAATATTAAAAATTTGAAAATCAACTTTCCACCAATTTATATTTCCAAATGCTCTTTATTTCTTCATCATAATGTAAAATGGTTTATAGTAATAACTGTTGTTTTCCAAGAATTTCTAGCCCCAAGAAAAGCTATAACTGCATGCATGTAAAATTACATTAATTTTTTTATTGTGCTTGAGGTCACCAATCAGCTGCTGACACATCACTCCCCTTTCAATAAATGGCAAAGCATCCACCATTCCTGATCCAAGTTATAGTTCATTTTCTCATTAGTAAACTAAAGGCCTGTAATAGTTACATAATAGACAAAATAATTCAAGCTTGCTTGCAGATATGAAATTTCTCTTTGTAGGTTATATTTCACTTGTTCACTATGCCTATTAGTGAGATACCTAGTTTAACACTAAAAGAGTTAGTGCACCCATGTGTCATTCTCTATTGAAAAAGAAACTCAAGGGTGTCTTTTACACATGTAAAAGTCCAGCTAGAAGATACATGTATGAAGTAATGTTACCATCCTCTTACTGTATTCTTTACAATTGCACAATTTCTCCAGATACATAGGCTATGCTTCCACTAAAAAATTTTGGGTTCTTGAAACCTTACTAACAAAAATAGCCAAATTACCTCGTCACTGTGTTCTGTTAATATGTATTTTGTTTCACATGGGAGGACATTCCTATGAAGGAAAGGATATTAAGCAATGAAAACTGAGAAAGTTATAATAAACAAAAAACATTGTGAGACTTTATAAGAACCAGATTCAAGATGCATGAGAACACATGAAAACAATTCTTTTCACTATATTCAATGTGCATGTAAATGTGCTTTGAATTTAACAGTTTCAAGTAGAATGTAAAGGATACCATTGGCGTCTTTGTCTATAAAATGTAGTTTACCATTCAAGCAGTTTCAAATAACATTTATTTAATAGGTGTATACCACAAAAGGGAATAGTGCTTTTTAGCTCCCACTGATTGGCTTGTTAGGAGGTGAATAGCAAATACTATTCACCTCCTGGTGGCCAAGGAAACAAAATTGCATGTCAAAAGTTTAATTTCTTACCATTTTTCAGTATATTGCTAGGAATGCACTTACTTTTGGTTTCTGAGTGGTCTATACTAAATCAGTCTCTGTGTGGTATATACTTATCCTTCACTTTGGTGAATACATGTAATTTTTAATTATGCAAAAATGATAAACAGTGTACACAGTACTCTAAAAGCAAAGAATGACCTCTTCCACCAAAACTGTAGCTAGTATATTTAAGGTGCTCATCATTTTCTTTCTCATTGGTGGAGAGAGAATGATACCAGAAAAATAAAATAAAAGTTTCCTTGTATTCTTAAAATGTAAGTTTCAATTCTTGAGTTTTGTCTTGGGAATGGAAAAACTGAAAAGGGTAGCCCACCAAGCATCAGATTAACAAATAGATGTCATGTTCCCCTGCATCTATTTAGTATACAGTTGAGTGTGTCTTCATTAACTATTACTGTACAGATCCACAGCAACATGGAGTCTATTTGTTTTATATAATGGTAAGCAAAAGGTTGTTAATATTGAGCTCCTCTGTGCATCTGTCCTCCAATAGATCATTAGTAAGAATCAGTCAAAATCTGTGCAAAATTCAGCTTATCAAACAATTTTCCATTTGTGATTAGGGCAGATGTGCCAAAAGCAAACAGCATCAATTTTAATGACTTCAGCTGTTTGTGCCTTGCCAGTCTCTAGAGGGGTAGATTAGAAACTTGACAATCTGGACAGGGAAATCAACCAGGTGGGGCTTATCAGAAAGGGAAGGCCTATTAAAACTCAACAAAGGCCAACATTCTTCTAAATTACGACTTAGATTCAGTGAATACAATGGGAATATTTCTTACTACAATGTTTAACCACACTCAGGGTAGAGTTTTTTCATGAAGTAGAAGGGTGTCATTTATAATAATTTGAACTCCTCAATAGAGAGGGGAGGGGCAACTAATCAAAGAGGAAGACTTGTCAGAGCATTCATGGTAATTAAGTAACAATGTACTTCATTTGAGACCTACACCTTTGAGCCATACCTTGAACATAGATGATCACTCAGCAGAGAAAATGAATGCAGTCCAAGTTCAAGTTTTGTATTATGATATGGACATTTTTCTTTTTGCAGTTCAACTGCTTGATTTAATAATGTTCTAAGTCTATGTGGTGGAAGCATCACAGATGCTGGTAAAAATGCTGAAGATAAAAATAACACATAACACTATCAGTAAACACAGTGTGAAAAAAGCAGACAGAAGTAAGAAGTATTATAAGCTGCAGTAGACCAACTGTACCTGCAAATATTATTGAAAACCCTGCTACACATAAAGGCTTTCTGACATTTAACTCCTTAAGCAGAAATTTGTTTTTTTTTTCACTTAATGCTACACCTACATGTACTGTACACCAACTGTTCAATCCTTCTTTCCTATCCTAGCTTAACATTTGCCTCACATACTGATATTCAATATCAGTATGGAGATTGCTTCAGACAACACTGATCCTTGCTTTAAACATCAAGGAAATCTCTGTAGCTCAGAATTTTTTCTTAAAACCACACTTTTACTAAATAAAGTCATATTTTTTGCACCATTTATACAACATGGTCCAAATGTTCCCTTGCTTTGAATCTTTCAAACCAGTATCATTTTTCATTTTCATAAATCATCAAAGATAAAAGTAGTTTGAAAATTCTTAAATAAAAAAAAATTTTGAATCACAAGATATAAATCAAAAGATTTTTAAAAATTTGTATCGTATATAATGCATCAAAAACATGCAATTTTTCTTCATGGTGCTGTCAGTTATGACATATTTTGTAGTTATACTGTAATTTACAATATTCAAAAAGGGCAAGTGTAAAAATAAACCACATGCACATGTTACTTTTTCAATAAGATTTCTAAAATCACAAAAATCAAACAAAGAGATACAAAATTGGAGCCTTGAAAATGACGATGAAAGTCAACATTGCAAATGAAAAAAAGAAAAAAATTCTTGGAGGTGCCCGGCAACCAGATACAACATACATTAGTTTGACCATGAAGGAAAATTTATTACTTTTGACCATTGCAACAAAAGAATTTCAAGAAATGTGGCTAAAGCTGTTCAGCTTGAATTCATAGAGGATCAACTTACATTGAAGCCTATCCATCAGCTTGTGTCTTGAGAGGTATCCTTTTCCATTCCATTCAGCTTTTTTATGAAGTTCCTCCTTTGTTGTATACATTACTAATCTAAAAGAAATCATTTCTAGCTGTAAATTCAGGACTTTTAGGGAGTCTAAATGGTCGTCAAACTGTCCCAAATGCACAACCAATAGAATTATAGAGATCACAAGCTTAACAGGTATAGCGTTTCAAAGTACATGTAAGGTTTTTACAGTTCTGAGAGTGATGCTTATTTCCCTCAAATCACTTTGAATAATGCAAAGTTGGTGTCAATGACTAAATGACAGTAGTTCTGTTTAATAGTAGAAGATTATAGGTATAGGATATCACACAGAACTCTTGAGGTTAAAAATAAGTCTCAGAGCAAATGAGTTCAAACTACAGCCGTGGTTTAAAGAGTATCCTATTCTTAAGATCAAAAAGGAAACTAATCCAAATGGATCAAAATATGTTTCCAACTGAAAATTTTTTTGAAGCTTAATTATAACATCACCACTGCACTATATCTATACCTGCTTACATGTACAACTCTAAAAGTATATGAAAATCCAGATAGGAATATCAAGGAAAAAGGCTCAAGTTATGTCTAATAAAACCAATGATAAAATTACCCTCCTTAAGTGTTGGGCTTACTTGGAAAATCCAAGCAGAATTTGACAAGATCAAGTTAAATGGAATTCAGAGAGCCTTTTTTCTTGTATTGCTTCAACAACAGCTCTTACAATTTTCTATTACATCAACTGAATAGTTGAACAAATAACTCTTGCCTTTCTGATTAAAACACCACATAATTTCCTCTTTCACCCACAAAAATCAATAAGAATAAATATAATTTCCTTTCGCAGAACAAAAATTGTCAGAGCATCCAAAAAATATTAGAAGAAAACTTTATGAATTATTGTTGTACTAATTCAATCATGCATCCTACACAGCGACTTTCTAATATGTCAAGGTTAGAGATTAGATAAATGCTAAAATAACACAAACAGCAATAATTTGACCAAAATGAAAGTTGATGTACTTTGATTAAGTCGTTATAAGACTAAATGAGTGATTTCAATCCAAAGATGATGAATGGCTGTAGATTACAAAATTATTGGATTGAGATGTTATTTCCCACAAAATCAAAAGACAGCAACTTGAGAAGAAATAACAAGTTTTCAAGAATTTTTTTCTACACCAGGTCACTTTTGAGAAACCCACTGATTAGGAAATTAAATATTTAAATAAAGAATAGAAAATTAACAAGGAACCATATGTTAAAGTTACATTTAAAACTACAAACTCAGGCATCCTGGAAGTCTTCATGTAAATATCATCACCAACTATGCCCTTTGTATTTTGCCTGTCCGATTACCATTTGAAGGTAAACAAGGGGCTGGCAAATGCTTCATTCAAATAACTTTATTCAAATAGCTTGATATCTAACATGGTAAGCCATAAAAAACCAGAGGGAAGCCATATATGTAAATTTATTTCGTGGCTTTGTAGCGAAATAAAACACTTACCCACTAAGCTGATGAACCCTCTCTCTGTTACATTTTAAAGGAGTTAGTTCTGTTCTTAAACAATACACGGCCTCTATACGGTTCTCTTCTTCGAGGAATTCTAAGAACTTCTGCTCCAACAGGCAAAACCTCATTTTCTTTGAAAGAGTACATAACGCACACATTAAAAAAAAAGATGCAATATTTAAAGGCAAAACAAATTACACCAGTTCAAAATCTTAACTCCAAATCCTGCCTCTAATACAGGAAAAACGAGGAGAACAAGGTTAACTCGAGAACATGAATTAAATTTCATGTAATGACTGCAGGAATTAAAACAAATGAACGCCACGGATATTGAATGGGGCCTTTGGACCTGTCGGATAACTTAGCCAAAACCAAGCATAATAAATACTAACCGAGATGTCTTCTTTGTTCTCAACTAAGGGCCTGAGCTCTTTCAAGATTGCGTCCGCCTTACAAACAGAGAAAAAATCCGGTAAGAAAGATTGAACCTCCCACAAAGACATCTGAACGAAGCATTGTCCACAAAGACAGCTTACAGCGAAGAAAGGATTCATAATTGAAAGCCAAACACAGCGATCTGAACTAACCCTTTCCCAATCACCGGCCATTACACTCTCACGGAACATAGCCGCTGATGGGTGCTCTAGTCTACAGCCCGATTCCTGCATAAGGACATCGACTGATTTGCTGGGGGATAAAATAAAATAAACATCAATCGTATACGCCACGCAACAGGAAACCAACAACGAAGTTAGGTGCCAATGAAATTGCGTCTTCTACGATTCCATATTTCTAACGCGACTCACTTCAAGCCCAAGCCTTGCAAATGCTGGACTATTAGCCGTACGACATCTTCGTCGCTTCTAGGAACAATTTTCCTTTTAAGATGGCCTTTGCTGTCTCCATTGGCTATACATTCACCATTAGAGGTACTTGTTTCGCCATCACTTCCACTAGAAGTCCGTTTCGATTTGTGCATATCGGACTCGAGGTCCACTGAAAGGCGCGCCCTTTTTTGCGGTGGTGGAGACAGTCCACCTTGCTGTTCGTCGTCAGACGAGGCCAGGGTAGCTGAAGACCACGAGGATAGCCAGTTTTGAACAAATTTCTAGGTAGAAGTAGCGAACAAACGATAGCAAACCTGGACAGCAACACAAAGCTAATCACTCACTACACACTTTCCTTCATATTGTGAACTGACGTCATCGAAGTCAACATTGAGGGGACTGGGTTCTAACAAAACAATTCCCATATTTGGATAATGTCATATTGTCGGTTCGTTAGGTCTCACAGAGAGAGAGAGAGAGAGAGAGGTTACTATAGCAACTGTAACGTCGACAATCACATGTAAAAAGTATGCTCCCTAAATATATTGAATTTCCTCATGAAATGCGAAAAAAAATGTATTAATTACAAAAATATCATGAAAGCTACGATAAAACTTACATTTTATACAATATGCGTAGGAGAGAGAGGGCGGGCAGAAAAATCTTCTACAATATACAACACGGTAGGCAAAAGCAGCATATCTGAAGATTCATAGTACCGGAATACAATCTGCGTCCATCCTAAGCCCATTTATGGTGTCAAAGAGTCAAAATCATTACTAGTTGTCTTTTCTTTACGCGTAAATTAGACTCCTCGATCACCTTCGTGAAAATGATAATTTTGTCTAATCATCTTAATTGATAATGTAAATTGGATTAAGAAACTCTCTACGGTGGCCAATTTACATTATCAACTCAGCTGATGAAATCAAAATTTTTGGTTCTTATTACTTTTCAACGACGCAGCACCGCAGTTACCCCCTATGTTCATGAAAAAGAGGCTAGTTTCTCGGTTGTCATGAAAGAGAGGCTATTCTTACCCAGATCTCACGCTGATGCCTATGGCCTAATCCAATATGGCTTCCGTAAGCTGCCGCAACATCAGCCGGTTATTTCATCGCATACGGCTTTACAGAAGTTATACCACAAATATTTCAGTAAGTGTAAATTTAGATTACCAGGTAAAGATCATATCACCTTCCTAAAGTTTATCTTTTATCTCCAAAGCGACAGTTTATTCAATGCGGATTTCGGCAAAGTGCAAGTAGGCTACAAAATACAGGTCGGTGGTGCGGTGCCTTAAATTGATTGAAAATTTTCGTGTTTCTTGTATGTTGCACTTGTCTTTAAATGACTTTACCTTGTATCTTTAGCGACTAAGATTCAAGCCACAGGAATCTTGGGTGGAAATAGTCAGCGAACGTGAGTGTAGAATAATTTTACTAACTATGAACCCTAAGTTTGACTTATTTTGCGTGCATGCACTCTCTAAATTAGGATAAACCGAGGCTTGATAATCAGTGTATTAGATATAACTTTGTTATAACAAGGAAACTGCCTCGAGTGAAAAGGCTGTCACTTCAGATCTTAGTATTTGAGCGTGTAAAATATTGTAGAGGTGTTTAGTGGTAATGCACTATTGTACATAGTCAAAGTCCACTCCTACTTCTGCTGAGAGGGACTGGGCTTTGATGCTCACAACCGACACAAATTTTGATCTGTAAGAATTCCATCAATATTGTGCTTTAATCTGTCAAATTGGAAATTTGTTTTCCTTTGGCCTTTTGGAAAATATCATACTTGTCGCCCCCATTTCCGCATATGGCTTTGTCAAGGAAAGTGCTGGTCTCTTTTTGTTGCACTATTTTTGGGACAAGGTCATAAGTCAACTTATTTTAATGCCCCTGCATTGGCTGCCAAAAGAATAGGCAAATTTTGGTCATGGCCAATCGATTCCTTAAAATTTTTTTGTGTCTATATCTTATATCCACAGGCTACTTGGTTGGAAGGAATACAAATACTTTCATTCATCCTCAAACCTTTGTAAGTGTTGTTAGAAAACTGTTCTTATGTATATGTGCACAGGAAGGTAAAATTTCTTGAAAAATGTTACAATGATTTAAGAGTCCAGCCTCTTGAACGAGTTGTACCCTATTTAGCAATAATTGTACCTAACATCTGCATGCATATTTTTCCACACTGTTCTCCATATATTTCCTTAGGTGCTGACTAGGAGATTTTTTTTAACAATGAAGAGCTTTTTTAGATGGTGATCATTCCTTTTTTCTTGTGGCCTCAGTGTGTGTGATTCAGCAGTGATATTGTAAGGAGAATTTAGATTCCAGTCACTTGTAGGAGTCATTGTGTTAGTGAGCACTATTCCCTAGTCTTCTACTAAAATTTTTTGTTTCATTTGTAGAAAATGGTGTTATTCTACTAGTTACTTTGGTACTCAGGATGTATAAGTAGCTGGCTCCATAGAATTATCAGGCAGGAAGTTGAATTGTTTTTATTTTTTTGTTTGGTGAAATTCTTACAGACTCTGAGAACTACATAATAGTGAATACACCACCATTTGCCGAGTCAGTTACGGAGGGAGATGTCAGATGGGATAAAGGTATGTCATAGAAAGTGAGGTGTGATTTGTGATTACATGGCACTGCTTAAAGCCAATCAGATTGCAAGGATCATTCATTTGGTGATTTCAAAATGGATATAAAAAGAATAAGTATTTCATGGATCTCTTTTTTGACAGCTGTTGGAGATACTGTTGCTGAAGATGAGGTTGTTGGAGAAATTGAAACAGACAAGGTAAAGTAATGTGGAAATATGATTATAATGTAAACATACAATAATATTCTTGTAGTTGTAGAGTGTAACATATAAATCAGCCAAACAAGCAGGCCAGTAATTAGCAAGCACTGAACCTACTGTACCTTCTACTAAAAACAAAAAAAAACATACAATAGTGAATAAACAATCAAACAAATGTAACATTTTTCACTGGCATGTGATTTATGTTAAAGAGGGCAGGTTTTTCCAATAGAACATTTTACCAACCACTGCTCAGCTGACTAGACATCACCAGACCTCTTGGAGTGAGTTTCAAGTTTAAATTGTAATGTTAAATCACATTTTCCCTTTGATTTAAGACCAGTATACCGGTAAGTGCCCCCTCAGCTGGAACAATTGCAGAGTTCTTTGTCAATGATGGTGATAAAGTGGAGAAAGGTCAACAGCTGTTTAAACTTGCTCTTACAGGTATAAGTTCTACTCTTAAATTTCCTTATCTTACAATCCATTGGGTGAGAGCTGTTTGTAGTCAATTTGCTTGAGAAACTAAACATGTTGGCTAGCCCATTTTGTTTAGAGGAGATGTTGTCCTCCTAAGACCAAGAGTATTAGTAGCATCAGAATGTAATGATTAACCACACTGTTTTGGAGTTAACTTTTTTACTAGTAAATTTACTTGAAATCTAATTCCAGGGGATGCCCCTCCAAAGGAGACAACAACAGAAAGTAAGCCTGCAGCTGAGAGTCCAGCACCAGCAAAGGAGATTCCAAAAGAGGAACCATCTGCACCAGCTTTTAAGATCCCTACCACTCCTCCCCCAGGTACAAACACTGTAGGCTTCCTTTGCGAGAAGTGACTAGCTTATAACTCATCAAAATTGTAATAGATTTTCTAGCTTACCAGCAGGTGAAGAGAGTAGACAAAGTTATCAAGTATTGGGTAAAGTCTTGATATGACACTCAATTCTTGAGAATAATTGGCAAGAAATGTGTAGCAACTGCTGTAAAAGGGAAGTAATTATTGCTAAGTAGATCTAGCAAGTTGAAAGTTCAAAAGGACATCTCATGTCAATGAGCAGGGTTCAATCAGATGAGAGGCTTATTTCCTTAATAAATAATGTTGCAATTGAAAGATTATGTGTGCAACCACATAAAGTTAAATATTAGGCAGCTTGTTGTATTACCCAGGGTAACCTTCTGACTAAAATGTTTGATTTCTTCTTGGCTAACCGCACACTAAAAACAAATTGCTTTTTTTCATCTGAGAGCTCTGTGACTGAATGCTTCCAGTAAAGAGTAGGTTATAGACTAATTGTCGAACTGCAAGTTTTCTTGTCCTTTTGCAATTTCAGCTCCTGCAGTACCAACCCAACCAATTGCAGAAATCAAACCTGGCCCCCCCTACCCCTGCCCCTCCCCCACAGCCAACAGATGCTCTTCCAGTGGACATTCTACCCAAAGGAGCCCGCTCTCAACATAAGGTATCATAGTTAAACTTTGAACTTGTATTGGGTGCCTCCTTATAAGCTAGTACCCTATTTTTTTTTTTTTTCTTTTGGTACCAAAAATTTGGAAACCCCAACACATCCCTTTCAGTGCCCTGTCGTCAGATTTAACCATTAAACCTCTAAGAGGGATAAGCATTTTATTTATCCTTGCAATATCACCCTGAATCAAGTATTAAGGTCACAAGAATAAGGGAAATGATCACTTATTAAAGAAGCTTTTGATTGTCAAACAGATTACTTAATATGCATACTGATGTTAGGGTGTAAAGGGTTTTAAGACTTTTTTGGATTTGAAGCTTGTATCTCAAGGGAATGTTGAAAGAGAGGGGAATAGGGGTGCTTATAGAGTAATTAAACTGAGTTTTTCACAAATTTGTTTGCATGTAGGCAAGGATGACAAGAATGCGTCAGAGGATTGCTCAGAGACTTAAAGATTCACAGAACACTTATGCCATGTTAACAACATTTAATGAAGTCGATATGAGGTTGGTAGATATATTTTCTATGGCTGCTGCAGTACCAAATAAATGTCATCAATTGATAATTGGTCGTTATCTTTTTTCCCCATGCTGAAATATCACTAAACAGCAACTTAACAGGCTAATTATATTCCCATCTTTGACTTACAGTGTTGTCATTAATAACTTTTCACTTTTCATGTAGTTTAGAAACAATGCGTCATATTTGTTTCCATTCTTTTGCTTGTTTGCTCTTTCCTTTCCTCCAGTCATGTCTCTGAGATGCGGAAAAAGCACAAAGATGCATTTTTTAAGAAGCATGGTGTCAAACTGGGATTCATGTCTGCCTTTATCAAAGCATCCGCTCATGCCTTGCAGAGTGAGCCAACAGTGAATGCTGGTCAGTTGGTTATCTGATTCTCCAGTCTACCTTCTTGTTTATTCAGTTTATCGTGTATTGTAAACAATAGTCCCACAAGTGCACATTGAATATGAGATGATAGAAAGCCAACGAGGCCCATAGGGCTGTGTTAGATATTTATCCTCTTATATCCAACAAGGGTATATACATTTTCCTAACTTTACTTTATTTTGTAAGAACTAACAGCATGTTACAATGTACAAAAACACTTCCAGTTTAACTTGTCTTTATGCATGCAGATGGTTTTGTGGCTTATAACCCATGATAGCTAAGCCAATAAAAACTCTGGAATTGCATTATCCAATGATCCAATTTTTGATAGAAGGAAGTATAGCATGAGCCAGAATTGGACTAGGATTCTGACAGCTCTTTAAGCAATTTTTACTGATATTTTCACTTAGAAATTATTACTGGAACAGTTTAACCCTTGAACTCCAATGAGTGACCAAGACAGAATTTCTCCTTAATAATTGTCAGTACAATATCAAGCAGACAAGTGACGAGAATAAAGAAAAGTAACAATAAGAGGATTATTAGTTGATCCAACACCAATTTCCCTAAACAAATATCATAAGAATTGTATGACAGACAGTAAGGAGAATTACTAATGAGATCTCTATTGTGAGATGTTATGAGATCTTGCGAGTTAAAAGGTTAACTGATGAGAAGGATAGTGAGAACTTTGCATGCTGGGTAATCATGGTCTTCTTATCATTTTTCTTGTAGTGATTGAAAACAACGAGATTGTATACAGAGATTATGTGGACATAAGTGTTGCAGTGGCCACGCCTAAGGTCTGTATAACTTCTGGAAAAGGCATTTTATTTACCTTGCATTGTGTTTAACTTGAAACAAAAGCGCTACAGCAGGCTGCATGTGTTAATTCATCAAATTTGATTGATTGAAATTCAAGCAAAATTACTGAAGGGCAAGAGACTTAGGAAACTTGAAAGCAGCGATGCTTTTATTTTACTCTCTTACAGGGACTTGTTGTGCCAGTAATTAGAAACGTAGAAGAAATGAACTACGCCGACATCGAAAAAGCGATCAATGCAATGGGAGAGAAGGTACATATATGTGTTATTCTTAGAAGCACCTACTTATCACGTCCCTTCCTACTGGAACATTAGGCCACGTTCAGTACCAGTCATGCAATCCTGAGCTGTGTTTCTTCCTGTACATCACCGCTTCCTTCCTTCCATCCTACCTTCTTTTCATGCTTTTTCTTTCTCAAACAGGTATTGTGAGCACATAATTATGGAAGCTATGGCTCGCTCGACCAATTCTGACCTGTTCGGTTTCTTGAGGCTTGTGTCCATCTCTTCGCGCACTTAATTTTAATGAACCGTGTGTATTAATCAGTTCCGGTTTCCCCTCCACTATTGACATCGTATTTTTCTAACAAGCCAAAGCTTTTACAATGCGTTTAAGAATCACGAAACCATCATTTGAGAAGCAGTTCATTCCGTCTCCGAAAATCAGAGGCTCTGACATGCTATTTTTCAATAAACTTGAGGTCCGAATCAAAAGAACATAGCTGCATCCCTTTATTTTTTGTCTCCAGGCACGAGCAAACGAACTGGCAATCGAAGACATGGACGGAGGAACATTCACCATCTCTAATGGCGGAGTATTTGGTTCCATGATGGGCACACCCATTATTAACCCGCCCCAGTCTGCCATCCTGGGCATGCACGCCATTGTTGACAGACCGGTGGCTATAAATGGAAAGGTTAGTGGCCTGGTAATCAATCTGTAATGAAAACTGATCAGATTTATCAGCTTACATTCTGTTAACTTTTTTCGCCAACGGAAGTTCAGCGTTTCTTTAGAAATTATCGGCCACCACATTGAAAAGGAGCCTCTATCTTTCAAATAAACCCTCAGGAAAAAGACAAGTTAGTCTGTATCCTTATATTTATTGAGCGCCCCAGGAATTGGAAGGGGGGGGTCACTTGGATACGAAAAAAAGATTATAGAAAAATATCATTTATTTGTTTTACAGCTCTCTCTTGAAGTGAAGTGAAGAGAAAGATATGTGGTAACGGTAACTTGTAGACGTACCACGTATGGCGCTTGTGGGTTGTATATTCCTATTTGGGGTACTCTGCCCAGAATTCGATTAAACCTTTCACTCCCACGAGTAATCCAAGGAGACACTCTCTTTGCTGTATCACTAGAGGGAAAGTTATTAGAAACGCATGGCAGAAAGTGTGGAGAATTGACCTTTGGGTTGTATTTCAGGTTGAGATTCGTCCCATGATGTACTTAGCCCTCACTTATGACCATCGTTTGATAGACGGCAGAGAAGCAGTAACATTCCTTAGGAAGATCAGAGCTTCGGTAGAAGATCCTCACACGTTACTGTTGGACTTGTGATCTCCTGGCTGATTATGCTAAGAAATTTATAGTGGACTGGACACTTATCAGTTTTAGTCGATGTCAAGTTTATGGCCAGCCTTGGTCAGAGAAATGTTTATGAATGTCGGTATTGTCACCTGTACTCGATGTGAAAGAAAAGAGTCAGTTATTAATGGGGTTTTTAAATTGATATTCATTATTCAGTGCGACTGTTCCATTAAGTCAAACTCACCTGTTTTTGGACTTATTGTCACGAAAAATACATCCGTGTTTTTTTTTAAGTTTTCACTGCAGCCATTACATTTGTCTCGTGGCGCAACGCGCTCTCTCCCCCAGGCGGGGAAGAGAGCGCATTTCGTGACGAGACCAAAAAATGGCTGCATAGGAGTGATATTCTTACCAAGTGGTGAAAAGTTTGCCATTTGCCAGTGAAGATTAACGTTTGCCGAATTGTTTCTTGAAGTTGTTCATCTGTCATGTTTTAGTGATATCAAATAAAAAAATCCACCTAAAACTTTAAAACTTGGGGTTAAGTCCTGTTTAACTATAATTTAATTATCAACGCAGGTCTAGATATTAGCCGGGTTCTTTTTTCGCGTTTTTATGGACCGAGACGAAGTCGACGTCCATGTCTCCACCTTAAGATAACACATAATTTTCTATAATTTATTATACTGAAACCGTAGCTTGGAAGTATGCTCTCCTGCTTAAGCGCTGGGGCACGAGCAGTGAAGTTCGCTAGATTCGAGCTGGCAAGCGAAATAAGAGTGCGAGAGATCTGTGGGGTAGGGTAAGGTGGAAAAATTATGCTGGCATGTGACAGAAAACGGAAACAAGCCATTGCTTAATCAAATCAAGTGGCATTTCGGGTTCTCAGCCTAAACGATCGGTGTAAGGAACTCTAATTTCATGTTTCGCCAATCGAATCATTTGCAACAGATATCAAACTTTCGCCACGCTGAGGCATGTTTTCCGTTTATATCCCGTTACAAAATGTCTTAGTCTTTGATCTAAACTAAGGGAAGATTCCTTTGAAACGCTCCCAGTATTTCTTCTGCTCCAGCTCCACACTTAATAATTAAAATATTATAATCCTAGACAATTATCACTCTAACCAATTGTAATTATTTTTCGTTGAACTCTTCCATTACTTGTGAGTAGAAAAACTGTCATCCTCCATGGAAGAGATCAGCTGGTCTGCGCTTTCCTTAGTGTTGGTGAAGCAAAGTGTTATTCGTTCAACATAGCCTCGTATCCTGACTGCAGAAATCTCTATCTGTGTGATCTGTTGGACACTGACAAGAACCAAGAAACTAAAAGTTTCATCATGACAGTCCGCTGGTCAGAGGTCTTTTGCAAGATTTCTCTCTTTTTTTTTTTCTTTCTTTTTCTTTTTTCTAGTTTCTATTTTTTCTGAAAGGGATCAAAACAAAATACTGTTGTCAAGAGATATTTCCTTAACTTTTAGTCTCCATGTGAACTACTCCTTACAAGGAAGGTGCCCTCTGTGTTCCTGAATATGAATGGAACTCCTATCACCGTGACAGTAAGCCTGAATTCTGTCAAACTTACGGTTCTTAACCTCCACACAGATCACGGACACCTTAAGATGGCTTCGATGGCAAGATGTTAAACAAAGACGTAAGTTACATGATCATAAATGTCTTAATCTTTTGTCACTTAGCCACTTATCAAATCAATTTTGTTCACCGCCGTCTACTACCCATAACAGAAAGACGAAGCAAAGCCTTCATATTTCACCTTACAAAGTTTCCGCCGGTCAGTGCACCTTTATCCATTATCGCGGTGTAAAAATATGGAACAGCCTGAACAAGGATTTAGAACAAATAACTGCAACTCCAAAGTTTTTAAAAAAGGTTTAATTAATCTATTAATGTGCAATGTAAAGTAGATTTGGACGTATTATTGTAAATAGTTTTTCTGAAATTTTTTGGTGATCTAGTTTTTTTTTCTGTATTTCATGCTGGTGCTGGAAACCCTCGTCAGGGACTGACGCTTAAGAAAGCATAAACTATGCATGTGTATATGCTTGAGTGCGTATGTGACCCCTCATAAAGTGACTAACCCCAAAGGTTCTAAAGATAAAGAGCAGACTTATCACAATTGCGACAGCTTTCGTAACACAACCTTTTTAATACCGTACATCAATTGTAGAAAGTCTTTATTCTCTGTCTTGCTTTTCATGAATAGAATCTTCTTTAGAACAAAAGAATATCTCGGATGATGGCTTAACGGCTAACGGTTAATGTTTTGGCCACTTTACGGCTAACGATTAATTCATTTCGTTATATAAAGCTGACAACAATATTTTTAAGGTTAACTTTATTTAGGACTAACGGTAAACGCAATTAAGACTGTCTTAACCATTATCTTGACCTCGCGACTGAGCAACAAGGCGTCTACATCACGACGTTTCCCACAACAAGAAGGTACTAGGTTTGAGTGATTATATTACGACCCATTCAAGAAGGTTCATTTCAAAACATTTTGTTTGCAGAAGGCAACGTTTGGGTAACAATATAATGACAATGTTTTTCCTTCAATGGAAACACTTGTTCTAAAAAGTAAATTCTAGTTTAACCGGTTCTTCAGGATTCGTTGTGACGCATCCGTCGCAACATAAAAGTTGGTTCCCACATTTTTATACAAAGCAGCCAGTCCCTCAGGAATAAACAAAGTTGTTTCTGGTAGTACAATTCTGGTAGTCGATTGAGCTTGTGTTAATTGTGCTGTTGATCAAAATTTTAAAACATAGCGCAAATTGAAAGAAGTAAGGTGTCATTTCTTAATGAAGTGGTATTCATGCGTAACGTTAACGCTTTGAAATGTTACGTAACAAAGCCGTACATTTTTCAATTGTGCATGTAATGCAGAGAAACTTTCGTTGAATGTTCGAAAAATATGCATAAAAAAAAGGTCAAGAAAGGTAACTTGCTCGCAAGAGAGATCTCACTCCATTGTACTGGTACTACCGTATTTATTCACCAATAAGCTAGCTGAGAGCCTAAACTTTAGAGATTTAATGATAGGCCTAAGCTTGTTAAAAAACTCTTACACATCCCAGGTTTCTTAGCAAGAGTTCACCTTTGGTTGCTGAATCGAAAGAGATCTTCTGAAAGCGCATCTAGTAAGAAACATGTTTTGGTCATTGAATGAATAAACACAACCAAATAAATATTCAAACGTTTATTGAAACAACAAGCAAATCAGTTGGATTGTGAATATTAATTGAACTTTTTGCAATATTGTAATTACTCACATTTTTCCATTTTTTTACAGTACATCTTGCAGTAGCCTGAAACAAGGATTTTTTAATTAAAACCCGAAGAAAATAGCCGTTCAGAAAGTATCGAGTATATGGAACAACTTGATACATGATAACAAAACTTCTGAAAAAAATATCCAATTTTCAAACATCATCGACTCAAAACGCTCTTCGAGTTGTTGTTTCTAAGGTCCGTGATAATTAGCATCCTTGCGTAACGGCTTTGTCCACGATTGATTACGCTGTAGGCAAAGATTTTTAAAGTAAAACGGGAAGAAAATAAAACTCGAAAGTTGGAAAGCATCAAGCATATGGAATAATTTGATGCACAACTTTTTAAAAGAACTCGCAATTTCAAACGGCATCGACTAAAAACGTTCCTCGATCAATTTCATCAAAATTATGTAGCAGAGCTTTACTGGTCACCAAGCTTGTGTAAAAGCAAAAGACAATTATACCTGAGTATATTGAGCTTGTGCATTGATTAAAAAATATTAGAAAAAAAGCCTGCCATCGGTATGCGACACGTTCATTTCCAAGGGGCTACGGGCAATGTTATGCCAAGTGCAGAATAGACGGTGCAATACTGAGGAATCACCTTGCGCAATATTTGATGGATCAGAGAGAATTTACACCCTTAGAATATAATTTAATTGCGTATTACATAAGATACAGTAGGTTTATGAGCACAATGTAGTCACAATGCGCGTAGTACCAGGGGTATTTTATAAACATCATTATATCGTTAGCCTTGCTATCTGGTAAGGCTCCTTGTTGGAAATAGGCAAGGTGCTGCAACTGTTTCGCCAAGTTCATCCACCGTACTACGATTGCCGTAGCGAATGATGCAATCGTCTCACAAGGCTGATTCAATTCAACCCGATCTTTACCAGCATGGTTAACATCGAGCATAATCGTTTCAATTGAATATTCTTTTGTTTGAGTAAATTTATTCCTATAATTACGAACATTTTGACGACAATGCTCTGGTTGCGAAATGTCAAGAATTTCGAACAGCCCCACTGGAATTATGTTAATTGTTTATTTTCTTTGTTGCCTTCGTACATGTTATTTTACTAAGCACTCGTGCAGTCTAGACGTTGTGGTTGTTGTTAGACCGGTGCAACAGCTAGAAGTTCGAACCAGGTCAAACAATTTACGATTCGAATCATGCTGTTATTACAAAAAATATCATGGTTTTTTACTGGAGAACGTTCTCAAGATAGTAGATGGTCATGGTTTGTATGTATTTCTGCAGCAGTTATCAATGGTGTGAATCTTGGTTTTGTGCTAAGCTTTGGGGTCCTTTTCCCAGAGCTGATGGAATACTTTGGAGAGACCGGGGAAAGAACAGGTGAGTTGAGATAAAACGAAATCAATTTAATCCTTTCTGAAAGCGCTTTTTTGTCGGAAACAATAAAATGGCCGAACAACGGAAGAGTAAACACCAGGCGCTCTTGAAAATCTCTATCAATCTATGATATTTCGCCATATTTTTGCGTTTTGTTTGGAAATACAAATCAGTGTCTAAAAAGCACTGAAAAGCCGTGTTGAAATCTCTTCGTAGCAGCTCAATGGGTGTTTTGGCATCAACGCCTTCTGCGACAAATTGCCATTTGCAAACTGGCATCTAAATTGTAATATTCAGACCCCTCTTGCCAGGTTTTACTTCATCAAAATTTCGACTAACAACAGGTCACTTTATTTCTGAAAGTGGGAACTTAACTTTGTGTTACTGATTCAAAAAAACGCAGATACCTTTCCATTTGTCATGTCTGATTTGTCTTTAAAACATTACTCCAACATTTAATTTGATGTTGTGCGACGTGGAACCAAGATGTATTCAAAATAAGCAAAGCAGACCGTTTAAATTCAACCAATAAGGAAATAGGAGCAAACTTCTCAAAAATAAGAGTGAGGCGGGTCGATCCTTACGCATAAACTACAATTTAAAATTTTTTTTTTTTGAGTCTGAATTTCTCTATTTCCTAAAATTGGTTCAGGGATCAATTCCTCGCTTTCCATGCATCACTCAAACTCAGTTTATTTCAATGTATCATCTCCGAACTTAGCTGCTAAACTTGTGTCTTGATGACCTAAACTATTGCAATAGAGTCTCACTGGGAGTAGCTTTGAAGGTTATCTGTGAGGTCTTTGACGGTTGACGATTAATAAGTAGATAGAAGATTTCTTCGATGAGTTTAAATCAAAACAATTATTTTTATTTTTCAATATTAATTATAAATGTTATTCAAACCTATTCAGTGTACTAAGTGAAATAAAGCGTCGTTTGAATATATCTAGTACTAACTAAAGGCCTAATCAAACCCACGCAACATTTCAACGCAACATCTTGCAACCTTGATGGATCGTGCTGCGAGATAATGTGAAGGAGCTGGCCAAACGTGCGCAACATCTGGCAACATTCAAAAGTGTTTCAACAAAAATTTTACCATTTTCAAACTTGTTCCACCACCACGCAACATCTTGCAACATGTTGTTACAACAATGCTGAAAAAAAATGTAAAAGATATTACGCTGAAATGTTGCATGGCCGGGCCTTTCAAAAGTGTTTCAACAAAAATTTTACCATTTTCAAACTTGTTCCACCACCACGCAACATCTTGCAACATGTTGTTACAGGGTAGCCAAGCGTGTACAACACGTTGCGCGCAACAATGCTGAAAAAATTGTTTAAAAGATATTACGCTGAAATGTTGCATGGCCGGGCCTTAACGAACAAGCTCAGCAAAACCTTGCTGATATTCTACCCGCCCTGATCATTGTAAGTTCCACGCGAAATGAACGACCCGACCCAGACCTCCCTGTTTTTTTTGCCCCACCGCTACTCTCGTCTCTTTATATTAACTGAATGTTTGGAACAGCCTAGAATCACTGCGGTTATATGAGAATTCGAGAATCCCTATCCACTCTTTCTTATATCGTCTACTTTGCGGCGAAGTTCGCCGCTCAATGTCAGCGCGCCGCGCGGAATTCTGGAAGTGTTTCTTTTTTTTTTAAATTATTATTCGCGTATGAAAAATGGTTTTTCGTTTATCAGATGCCAGTAACATGGTCTTCTTTCCATTCTTATCAGCTCTAGTCGGCTCAATTGCAGTGGGAATGGTTTGGCTGGCAAGTCCGCTGGTCGGTTATTTCTGTGATCGCTTTGGTTGTCGGGTCACGTGTTTCGTAGGAGGCACGCTATGCATGGCTGGCCTTGTGTCGACGTCATTTGTTCCAAACCTCACTTGGATGTACTGCACGTATAGCGCAGTGTATGGTTTGGGAACATGCTTCATCTACAATCCTTGCTTTCTTATAATTGCCAAGTACTTCATGGAGAAGCTATCCATTGCGACTGGGATTGTTTCGCTGGGTTCGAGTCTGGGTTACCTGTGCACTGGACCTTTGCTACAAGCACTATTGGATGCATATGGATGGAGGGACACTTTCAGGATAATGGTGGCGACATACGCTCTTGTCTGCATCTTGAGTTTGACATTTAACCCCAACGTACAAGGCATAACAGTAGTAGAAACATTTACCCCTGAAAAGGATAACAATCGAGCTCAAGAAGTAAAGAGGAATGCACTCTTTTTTTATTGCAGCGTGTGGATCTTTCCTGCTTACACTGTGTTCGTTGTTTCACTCGTACTTGCCAGTTTTTCGATGTATATTCCCTTCATCAATCTGGTAAGATTATGATTTGATACAAGATAGAGCGACTTGGGAGGTTGGGAGAGCACGAGATAAGCTGGAAACCACTCCGCTTCGCGTCATGGTTTCCTACACTTATCTCGTGTTCTCCCAACCTCCCGCGTGTTTACATCAGACTATGTAAACACGGAAACCATTTTACATTTCTTCGATGAAATTATATTGTCTTGTGGTAAAATAAATTCAGGTGAAGCCCGGAAAATGTTTCTGACAAAACTAGCCCTAGGCCTGCAACTGATTGGATCAGGTGCAGCCATTTGTTTTCCGACAATACCAAACAGTAGTAAAGCATATTGAAGGCTTTACTCACTGAATATTGTTAGAACAATTTTCAATTAAGTGTCGAAAGTAATCCGATATTGCATTGGTTTCACTTCACTGACTTCGCTCTGTGATGGTCCAGAAAGCTCGCGTCACTCCCTCAACCAATCAGATTCAACACTAAAACTAATCACGACATGGTCGCCCGCGTTTTCCCGCGCTTTAGGCGGTTTGTTTGCCTTTACTTTGAGTTCTCATCATGCATGCTCCAAGGATAGCCTTGCCAGTTGTTCGGCTAATGCAACATTTCTGTTTTTAAACTAGGTCAAGTTTAGCGAAGATGTCGGAATATCTCCACAAAAAGCCTCCCGACTGTCCATCTTCATCGGCCTTGCTTCAGCCGTTGGACGAATCACAACAGGGAGATTGTGCAACGATAAAAGAGTAAATCCAGTTTACATTTATCAAGCGTGTTTGGTTATCGCTGCTCTTGCCACATCGATACTGCCAATGGCAAAGGAATACTGGCAAATTATAATTTTCAGCGCAACTTTTGGATTAAGTGAAGGTGTATTCATAACAACCCAGAATTTCATTTTATTGACCTGTGTGGACAAAAAACGAAGGACTGCAGCTTTCTGTATCAACAACCTGCTATATGCCTTTACTGCAGCAGCCGGCGGACCCGTTGCCGGTAAGTGAATCAAAGAACCTAAAAAAGATGGGTTTAGAAGTCTTTGGATAATTTCTTAACCAACCAGAATGAGAAATACAGCCAATTTTTTGGTTTTTCGTTTACACTAGCTTACAAATGTAGCCATTGTTTCCTTGTGTTTGGTTAGTACTTCAGCTTTTTCTATTTATTTTCTTAACCCTTAACTCTCGAGTTTTGATTGTTAATTCTCCCATCTAGCTGCCGCGCACTTCCATGTAAATTAGTTACGAGAATTTGCGTTTAGAGCAAGTGAACAACTTCTACCAGATATCTTTGAGTATTTTCGTTACCTGTTTGCTGGATGATGAACGGATATCATAAGGAGAAATTACCTATTTATCACTTCTGTGAGTTAAAGGGTTACAGTTCCTCAATCTTAGAAAGGAGGAAAATGAACTGTGTTGTTCTCCTCCTAGTTTAAGTATCGTCTACTTCGGAGAAAAAAGGAAAATCTTTTAGGCTCAGCTAATGTGGGTAAATGCACTAGTTTGTTTATAAATGTTGTTATTATACATTAGGGTTACTATGCAAGCTCTGATTGGTCGAGAGCATACATTCATGTACAATAGCGTGTGAGGTTGACATGATAACCCAATATCTGCAGCAGGTGTTGGGTTATCATGTCGAGTTCTAGGTCTGCCTAGTTTCCAAGCTCTTCGTCCGTGTAGTACTCTCAAACCTTTGCGAACTCAGAGAGAAGTGCCTCTTTTGGCGATTGTTAAAAAAATTTATGATGAAACAATTACTGAATTCGGTTTCGATAATTCATGATATCATGCTCAATCTCATCCAATAATTGCTCTTTATTTCCTATACAGCCCTGATGGCTGACGAGACAGGGGACTATACCTATTCATTCTACATGACCGGAGGAGTGTTGATAACTGCAGCCTTGATACCATTGATTTTGATTTGCGTAAACCGTGGGAAGTCGAAGGTCGTCCCCGAGGAATCAGAAATAGAAGAGAAGAAAGACAACTTTGAAAGAGTGTCCATAGCAATTCAAACTCTCGATGAAACGGAAGTATTGGGAAAAGAACTGCGCACAGAGTCCTTGTCAAGAAAGCGCGCTGCAAGCGCATTTCTCTGAAAGACGTAAAATATAATAAAAACGTTTGTTCTTTTCTGGTTAAGCTTCCAAGAAGCTACGGCCCTCAATCCGTCTAAGAGGTTGCCGAATTGTTGTGTTTCGAGTTTTTGACACGCCTTACTGTTCTTCTTTCCTCAGATGACAAGTTTTTCTGTTACACAGCACAGCATCAAAATTTAGAAGTAAATTTCTTGCGATTTTCAAGAATATGGCCAATAATAAATAGTATGCTACATCGATGTCCAATAAAACTCGTTCAATGCCAAAGAGACAGTACTGTTCTCGTCAATACTTTTTTGCTCGTCTTGACAATTTTTTTTCAGTCGAATCATGTATACAATTAAAGTACTTCTCCCTCGAGCAAAAACAAAAATGTTCAATGCTGAATTTGCTTTTGTTCTCAGCAGTGACAGCGGCAAAATGAGTGTGCATGCTTGTAAATTTTTACAAGCACAAAGAAAAGGGACCGACAATATTTCTTTTGTAACACTATTGCGGGAAAATGGCGACTTTTTTAAAATTCCTATTGTTTGTTTTAATTTTGCGAGGATACGTTTAAACCAAAACAGATAAGGAGGCTGTTTTTAGGAAAGTTTCTGCCGACCCTCCACAGTCGCATATTTCACATAGCAATAAAATGTTGCGGTAAGAGGTGTGAATTTAGGGACTGAAGTGGTGCATTCGTAACATGGCAACGAAGTTCGTAGCAACAGCTACTATAACTTACAGAATGCTACTTATTCTATGGACTTTTCCACAAGAACAAGCTCCATTAAATTATTCACTCGGTTCTCAGCAATAACAGTCCAAGAAAAGTGTATGATAACGTTCTGTTCGTGAATCAATGAAATTCAGTCACTCTGGAGTCACAAAACGCTCTCCGAACGCGTATATCTCCCGAGCATGCACACTCATTTTGCCGCTGCGTCCTTAGCAGTCACAAAGTTCGCACATGCGTAGACCGTTGACCTCTGTGCTGGAGGTTACCGGTCGTTTCGTACCCACGGTCACCTCGTACCCAGTCGTTCCCTACCCAGTTAGGTCGTTTCGTACCCAAACTAATGAAGTACGTTTTCCATGTTAAAAATTGAAGAAAAATATCACATTTACACTAGCTGCTGTCGTTAAAAAAAACTCACAGGTAAAAGCGATAGACTTTTCTATTTAAAATATCATACTTACCTTGCGCTAAGCGATAATTCAGTTTTTTTTTAAGGTCACAATTATACACAACATAATTTTGTTTGTATCTTAGTAGCTTTACTCTGCTAACATGTCGTATCCACCCATTGACATCTTTTCACGCGCTCGCGGATGAGGTATGTTGAATAAATGTATGACTCAATTAGCAGTTTGGCCACGAACCGACTCAAACTTGGGTACGAGTCGACTGCATTTGGGTACAAACGACTGTGGGTACGAAACGACCGGATACCGCGCGCGAACTGGAGATAACTGACTGATTAATGACCAATCACGTGCGCGTATTATCTCAGAGCTACAGTTTAAGTTAATAGCAGGTCTGTAATTCTTTGTAAGACACAGTGGCGTCTGGTTTCCGTGCTGGACTTCGGACCGATATAGAATGCTTAGAGTTTAGGATGCCTAAAGCCATGACATTGGCTCATCAGTTTCAATCATAATCAAGCCGGTGTTTATAGAGAAAGATGTAATAAATTTTTCTACTTCTCCAAAAAAAAGAAGTCAAGATGGCGATTAAATCTTTTATTTCAGGGGGCAATTTCGGTAATTCTCAGGAGATTTCTGACTCGTGAAACCGTGGTACTAACCTTAATGAAGGCGATTTTTTTCCAGATGAGTCTTTTAAGATATTTTTTTGTAAGACTTATTTCAAGCAAGTTAGAACTCTTGAACAGCGGTATGCAAGTCAGTTTTTTGATGAATATTGTCTTTGAGATGCCACCTCTGTCTACTCACGTCTAAATAATTGTCAATTTCGGACATTGAATAAAGAGTTATATTGAATTTCAAAAGCAGAAGTCAAACTACTTAAGTACTGATAAGTAAACCGATTTTTCTGTGTTGTAAAACCAGAAAAGTATCCCTTGTTGTTTAAGAAAAGAAGATCGTTTATATACACTGTTGTAGTTTGGTGCTTAGCTCTTGCTGGCTGTGTACCACCGCTTTTCTTTAAAGAAGGCAGATTTGAATTCCAGCCCGGGAAATCGATGTGTTTGTACACATTTGAAAGCCACATCGCTTACACAGTCTTCATTGAGTGTTTTTATGTCGCAACACCCTAAACAGTCATCACAATCTGCTACGTTACAGTGTTCCGCACAGTCTCAAGGTCAAATCGCATTTTTCCTTCGGATAATAACCCCTGCCAACTCCGTGTGAATGTGGAAGAGGCCAAAGTGACGGAAACTTTAGTAACGGTTCTGTTTGGCTTCGTATTTTGTTGGCTCCCTATTTTTGTCGTGGATTGCACTGACGCCGCGCGCGGAGAACGCACAATGCCACGACAGGTTTACCTGATGTACGCATTCTTGGCCTATTTAAGTAGCACTGTTCATCTATGGTATCATGAATAAACATTTCAGGCGAGAGTACAAGGTTCTCTCGCGCAAGTTTGCTTGCTTTCGTCGCCAGTGTAGGAACAACAACAAAAACAACAACAGCAACCACAACGCAGAAAGTGGTGTATGAATTCTTTTCACCATCCTCAGTCTTAGAGAATTTCTCAGCCCACCCCAACAAACAGATTCTAAAGAAGAGACTATCACAAGTTCAGCGTTAAGGCCGAAGAACATCCTTCCCAGAGGTCTTGCTTTTTAAAACGATATTTTCATTTTCTTGCAAAAGCCGAAGCTCTTCCAAAAGAAAAGTTATGTTACATTAACTTTTTTTTGCGGCATTGTCTCTCCTTATTGCAAATCCATTTAGAAAGAAAGAAGATCAAAAATACGCTTTGACGTATTTTAGTTTATTAAAAACAAATATGCTTATTGTAGAGCAAAAAAGAACAAAAGGAAGAATCTTGTTTAAGTAAGAGTGCATAAATTCTCTCCTTCAGTAATTTCAACATAAAAAGTAAAGAATTAATATTTAAAAACTATTTGTAGCGTTATTTCAAAGTGTGTTATCTGGATCTATGATAATTGGGTTTCTCCCCTTTATTTTCCTCTCTTCATATTTACAATTAATCAAAAAAATATTTCATCAAAACTCACAGGTCTGAGTTGTTATAAAAGTCGAAAATAAACATCGATGCATAAGTGTCAAGTTTAGTACCAATGGCTCCTTATAAACTTCTTATTAGCCTCTGGGCTTTCGAGTGTTCTCCTCAAATCGAAGTCGGTTATTACACCTGTAATCCGATAAAAAGTGCTCTATGATTTTACCAGTGCAATAAGCAATAAGTTTTTGACCAATCAGGGAGTTCGCACAATCTTATTTCATAAGATTATATCAGCAACGACTTCTGCTTCAGAACCACGGGAAGTGAAGATCAATTTTTTTCCTACATTTTGATCGAGTGACAAGAGTTTTGAAATTCTCTGAAAGAGATCTCTATTGTCGGAACGTTTCTCTTTTTTCGGCTAATTATTTTCAATTTCGAGATATTTAGCGTATCGATTCTTTTTCAAGCGAACTTTCGTAGTCGTCGTATTATGCCCAGTGTTCTTTGGGACACTTGAGAGCAACAGTGTGAATTAAATAGGCCTTGCAGTTGAAATTGTGGTTGATTTTTCCAGTTCCGCTAAAACTACGGTCCTTGTTTATGACTGACCCTAACAAAAGCTTTCGTTACAAATTATTCCAAACTGTAACGATAACCCGTGCGATGACTTTCATCTGAGTTTACCAAAACAGTTAATCTTTGATGCCATGATATGTTTTTTGCTTTAGTTTTCAAATTGATTAGCTAACAGGGAAGTCCTTGCTGTCACTGGGATTGGCTTTAGGGCTTGGTACAGTGTTTCTTGCTTCCAAGTCTCTCATTTCTGACACTATTGGACTGACTCGAGACCCTTTCAGCTTGATGAAAGTCACTCCGAAAGGAATGACAAATGCAAACATCAGAACCCCGCCGGTCATGTAAAAAGAATTGATATAGTTCCCACTTTGGTCTGCCATCAAACCTGTGGAAAACAACACATAAAGAAGAAATCTAGATTGCAGTGTGCAGATAACGCATTTTATAAAAAAGCTCTGAAAAGGACAAGCCCCTTTCTTAACCATGTGACAGAATTTGTTCATTTTGTAGGGATTATCTTACCAGCAATTGGTCCCCCAGTAGCCGCCGAAAACGAATAAAGCAGGTTAAGGATACAAAATGAAGCTGTAGCTCTCTCTTTATCCACACAGCTAAGCAAGATGTAACATTGCGTGGTTATGAAAATTCCATCGCTTATTCCATAAGCACAGCTAAATAAAATTAAGGCCCAGTATGTAGTTGCCATAGGTAACAGGAGCACACATACACCACCGATAAACAGCGATGACTGATAAACAAATACTGGGTTGATCTTTGGATTGTTACACAGTTTTCCGGACAGAATCCTTGCAAGTGATGAGGTAAGGCCGATGAAGATGAACAGTCGAGAGGCACTTTGCGCCGTGATACCAAGATCCTCACAGTACTTGACCTGGTTAGAGATAAAATATGTGCCATGTTATAAAATCCCTAATGGAGGACACTGCATGAAAATGAGGCAACTCAGGAGTTTGTCATATCATCACATCTAAATTTGAAGATCTTTGAAGCACTGGATGGTGGCATTATTTGTTTTTCAATTTTGAGGATACGGCTGCCATAATAATGGGGTAATTTTGGTACAAAAACCGTTAGTAATTTCTAGTCATTTCTTCTCAAAGATTGTAAAGGTGACGTCAATCATTTGATTTTCGGAATCTTTCCGGTTTTGGCTTGATAGTTCTGTCGTATTTTGTTTGAAGCATCTCAACCAGCTAGAATTCTGAATCTTTGCAATTAATTGACTATCTCACGTTCCTGGCCAGCTCAAGGTTTTTGGCACAGCCAATCGTTACAAGGCTCAAACCAGAGACCTCACATATGGCTCAGTTTTTCTTAAACAGGGACCTCCGCCTAGCGAACACTTACAAAAAATATTTTCTCATTTTTTTTAGTGTCAAAAGTATTAGCAATAGAAAATATCTGGATTATTGGTATTAGCTATACTATAGACAGTTGTATTCTAACCAGATTGATGTAAGGAATATACATTCCAAAAGATCCCACCATCAAAGAAATGACGACGAAAGTGAAAACAGGAAACGTCCACACACTGCAGTAAAAAGAGATTCTTCTCTTAATTCCTACTTTTTTTCCCATGTCCAACGCTTCTGCTTTTACCTCCGTCACTATTGTTGTTTCAACTACGTTTGGATTGAAAACCAAACTCAAAATGCAAACAAGAGCGAAGGTTGCCGTCATTATTCTAAACGCGTTTCTCCATCCAAACGCGTCCAAAAGAATCTGTAGTAACGGGCCTGTGTAAAGAACACCTACACTCGACCCCAATGCCGTTATACCAACAGCTAATGAGAGTTTTTCATTAAAATATTTTCCAAGTACCAAATAGTTGGAGTTATAAATGAAGCACGCTCCCGAGCCGTACACCAAACCATAGGTAAAATACATAAGATTGAGGCTATTGGCGAAGGAAGTTGCCACCAGACCTGTCACGCATAGCAATCCCCCTAAAAAACACGTTATACGACATCCAAAGCGATCGCACAGGTATCCGGCCGGCAAACTTGCGAACCATACCATAGCTAGGCCGATTGAACCAACCCAGGCTGTGAAAGAGACGATTTTCAAATTAGTTCCTTTCATTTTAGTGGTCAGGAAAAGCATATTACCATCGATATCTCAATTAATCAGGCGAAATTCACCTGTTCTTCAGACCCGATCGAGTCTCTTTCAAACGGCCTAAAGGGTGCAGGGTTATGGATATTCTAGCGCCTTCTTGCATTTCACAAATTTGAATAATTTACTATAAATATCTTCGCATTATGCCTCCTGGAGCTCACCTGGGTCATGCGGAGTCATTAGCGCAAGCTATTTCATACAGCGATAGTAATCACTAGTTAACATCCTTAACTACGAGGACGGGAAGTGACTTTTTCATATCCAACGATTAGTAGCAGATTTTAAGATTACCGTTCTATGAAATTTTTCAAAATCAGAAAAAGTTTTTCATATCCAGCATATATTACTCAAAATATCAAAAAAAAAGTTCCTCAAGTTCAATCCTCAATTCACACCACAGCCATTTGAGTTATGTAGTCAGCAGACCGTAAAAAGCTTGCTGTTTATCTGAAAAGTCCCTTATTAGTACATTGTGGCAGGGAGAAGAAGAAATTAGCTTGAGGCCGATCATCGGCACTGTTCAAAAAATTCAACATTTTAAAGGAACATTTGGCTACACTTAGATCTTTCAATCAGTGAAGACAAGTTTTATATCCAACGGCTGAAAGTTTTTTCGTTTTGTTCGTGTGTTATGGAATTATCTCGTTGTCTGCCCTCAGGCCTGTGAAGCCGCCAGAGTCACGATCAGAACCGAACAACGAAGTCAATTTTTAATTAACTCATAACTTTTTAAAACAGATTTCTCACCAACATACCTGTTCTCCCTCTTGTGGCATTAAAGTGCCTCATCAACTCTGGAAACAAAACTCCAAAGCTGAGAGTAAAGCCCAGATTAATACCATTACACACAGCCGCTGCAAAACAAACAACCCACGACCATAAGCTATCTTGGAACCTTTCACCATCAAACATCCGCGTGAGCTTTTTGAAAGCGTTTCCTCCGTCTTCTCTGTTATCCATAATAGTGTGGAGTTCACCCAAGTCGTTCTAACAGAACACACGCATATTGATCTAGTTTCAACCGGTCGACACGCGCGTCTGTATACAAATAAAGCCTCATTACGTAGTTAACACCATCATCACGAGCGCTAAGGGCAAAAATAGAATCTATGATCACGCATTCTACAAACTCGTGCACATTTTGGGAGAATTTTTTGGTTTCTAGTTTCTAGTTTCCTTATGTAAGAGTACATGTGTGCAAAACCTCGTTGAAGAGTTTGGGGTGTAAAAGAAAGAAATACATAGATATTTATATATTTTACAGATGTTTTGGTGTGTATTATCTCTGAGTATTTTTAACCGCAACCCTGCGGGCTCGTCAAAATACAAACTCAGTAATGCCACACATCAAAACGCCAAATTAGTTATTTGTTATCAAACTGCTTTATTTGTTCTCAGAAAAGGTGTGTTAAAACAGTTGAACACAATAAGCTTTTATGTGATGGAATCTAGGGCTTCCAGCTACTGCACTCGTAATATCCATAGGCCTTACACGCCTGAAAAAGAGGTCAACCGAAAAGAAAACACTATGGGAAAGATTGCCAAAAGGCGACAGATTCGAAAGTCTTCACATGCTCAGATACCGATCTTGGCGAAGCTACTAGTCCATTACATAGTGTCTTGCGACAAAGAAAATAGAGATCTTTCGAGTAAGATTTATCGCGTTTCCCTCGGTGGAATTTCTTAGGATTTGATAAAACGTTTAACATATTTGTGCCCTCCCTAGTGCCTGTTGATTAAAAAAATTCATGAGACCAAATTTGAGACGGAGGATGAAAACACAAAATTGTAAATAGCGAGGAAACGGCCTGTGTAACCCCTATTTTTTCGGCTTTTAAATGATCGGCAGGACAATTTTCACAAATTGGGAAAATTTTGAGAGATTTTACCGAAGCAAATTGAAGAAAATCAAAGGCAAAGGGAAATTATCGTGGACCCTTAGCTTAATAACGAAAATCATTTTGATAATATTTACTACAGCAAACGACAGTCCGAACCTTGCTCGTTGCCTTTTGATGGCTTTTAGCGGCCTTGAAAAGCCAAAACGTGAAAAATTTTAACTTTTTCCCTTTTTATGAAATTATATCGACAGACGATACATGATTATTGCAGCTGTAAAAAACGTTAAACAAAACAAACAGGAAATCAAAACCGTGCCTATAAATAGGTTTTTCACCTTTTACTGCAGTTGAAATAGCTTATTTGAAATTTGTCTAAAGTTCCGCTCTATAAATTGTTCTTCAGCGCTGTTACCGTGTTACAGAATTGTAGGAAAGCTTACAAAACGTTTTAAGGGCTGTTATTGTCCATTAAGACAAGTTAGATTCTCGGTGACAACCACGACTGGACTCTTGTTAATTTTCAACGTCTTCCTCACGAATACGACACAGAATATCTAAGCCAACTTAAAACTAAATGTCCTTTTACGGCTCGATCATCATTTTTACACGGATAAAAAAAATACAAGCAAAAACTAGAAAAAAATTAAGTGCACTCTAACTTAACTCGTGACTCGAACTTGACTCGTCACGAGTATCGGGTATGATATTACGCACACGTAAAATTAGAGTTGTACTAGATTTTTAATATTTTCCTTCGACATTTTGACGACTCGGATGACCCAAAAGTTGACCCAAGCTCGCACAATTTGCCTCCGTATAAATGCACACATGTTTAACTTGCTCCATCTGCTTGGCCCTCTATATAATCCTCTATACAGGGCAAAAGAGAAGAAATAAAACCTAATCAAACTGCTTTAAATCAGACCAGAAAACTCACACGATACAAAGAAACAAACCGCTATAGCCAGATAATTTTTTTCCTAGTGAGTGCTTGTTTCTTAGGTTGAGAGCGAAACCGTTTATTCCCATACAAATCCTTATATTTCGCCCATCGCACAACGTAAAATATTTGCATATTTATGGAGGCTAATTGTGCGAGCTTGGGCCACCTGTAAAAGACCTAAATTTGTTAATTAATACTTACGGTTTAGTGTACGGAATGGAGGCGTGTTTCATTTGCAATTCTTACTACATGGTTTTTGGAACACATTTTAAACAAAAACTCTCGTTAGCTGTTGGTAGAACGCCATTAGGATCTAGTGCAGGTGTCCTTTACAGCGGCCCGTTGCTACAGTCTCTTTTAGGCGCGTTTGGACGGAGAAACACCTTAAGAATAATGACGGCAACCTTCGCTCTTGTTTGCATTTTGAGTTTGAATTTCAAGGAGCGACAACATCGTAGGTGGATGTAGAATTAGAAACTTTAGATGTGAAATAAAGAGTAGGAATTAAGAGAAGAATCACTTTTTACTGCCGCGTGTAGACGTTTTCTGTTTACTCTTTTGTCGTCATTTCTTCAACTGTGGAAGGTTTTGGATGTTCATTCCTATAATCAATCTGTGTGTAGTATACAGCTGTTCATAGTATAGTTATAAAAGGAATAAATATTTGTTAAATGTGTCGATATGGGCGAAGGTCCATATTCAAGAAAATCTGTATCATATATGAGTTTTAGAGAAAGGTTGCATGGGCTATGCATGGTCTTGTTAATACTTGTGCGCCATAAAAAGTATCAGTATTAGTCATTTGCATATCAGGTTGTGTGCTGAGCAGAGGGTCTCAATTTCAAAATCATCAGTCCCTCTCGCCAGGAGTTTAAATCTAAACTAACTCCGTCTTCACAGCCTATAGGCATTAGGCAAGTTTTACCTCGGGATTCCAATATTTATTTGGAGGTGAATAGTTAGCCTGTTCCACTCATCAATGTGGATGAAGGGCATAGCGGCTCTCCGCGACTACTTACTAAACGCATGGAACAGGCGAGTTATAACCATTGACCCTGCGACCGGCACACAAAATCAATTTACAACTTATGAAAAATTCCCTTTTCAAATTTGGACCTTCATTTTGAAGATTTATGGAATTATGAGAATTCCCTCTGTCTCTCCTCTTCTCTCCTTAAGTGCCATTGAAAAATTTAAAAAGCTAGAATCTGTATAAATCCTAACTAGATCAAATATTGTGAAGATCTTGGGATCATGGCGTAGAGTGCCTCTCGATTGTTCATCTTCATTGGCCTTATCCCATCTCTTGCACGGATTCTGTCAGGAAAACTGTGCGAACTGTAAACTTTGTTTATCAGTTGTCAATGTTTATCGGTGGTGTATCTGCCCTCCTGTTACCTTCTACAACCAAATACTGAGCTTTAGTTGTATTTAGCGGTGCTTATGGAACAAGCGATGGCATTCTTATATCAACATCATGTTACATCTTGCTTAGTTGTGTGGATAAAAAAAAAAAAGAAAAATAGCTTCATTCTGTATCGAATGCTTGCTTTACTCGTTTTAAGCGGCGACTGGCGGACCAATTGCTGGCTCGGACTCTAAAGATTGGAATTTTTCACTTTTGATATATATGCGTTATTGACCGAGCGCGAGGTCAAGATGGCTGGATTTTGGTAGAGTTCTTTTTTTCTGCATTTTTATGGACCAGAAAAACGCAAAAAGGGAGCGATGCTAATATCCAGCCACAGAGACTCCACGGTGAGCGTGGTTTGCAACACAATAAACCCAGGAGGGTCGTTTGATGTTTTCGTTGTTTTTAATGTCTTCTGCTGCAGTAAATTTTCTTTAGTCCTCCTCTCCTTACACTTTATTAGCGACAACTTATCCCCCCTCCGTGCCCCCCTGGAATCCATGTCATCCCCCAAAATCCTCCACCCCCTCTCCCCTTAAGATAAATAATGACTGATGTGGTCCCTTAGATACGATTTTGCGTGGGTAGTTTTATTGACGTTATACTAGAAAAATAATCACATGAGTCGCTCGTACATTTTGTGATCTGTATCCTCACTCGGAATATGCTGAAAGGCTTTTTAAAGATAAAACATTTAAAAAATCACTCTTGCCTAGCTAGAAATTTGAAGATACACTCGCGTTCATGCAATTTTCAATACTACAAGTAATTCCTGTCGAGTGCGACAGAGGTGGAGAAATTTCATTATTCTGTCAGTGACGTAAGGTAAAAAAGCATGTGCAGTTTGCTTTTGTTGTTGTTGTTGTTTTTTTTATCATGCGAGATATTTACGTTCTAATGACGTCACATAAAGTTGCAAGTGAAAAGAGCCCATTGCCCGTTGGTGTTGCAATAATTTAACCTCTGAAATTTCACTGTTGCAGAAATCAAAGCACTCCGTACCGGTAGCTTCGTGTTAGAACATACAATCTCTTTTTTTCACAAGTTCCACTTACCAACGCCTTTTTGACAAAAATCGGATTTTCAAAAATATTTATTTCAAAGGAGAACAAATTATACGCTCTTCACTGTCCTGTTAGGGCCTAACAGCGTGCATCAGATTACTATATACCGAGCCAAAGAGGCTCCTAAGACGAGTGACTGTTACTCTGAAGACTCTGGTCAACAGACTAAAAAAGGTTGGCAACGTCGAAACTAAAAAAATGTCCTTAAATCTCAAGTAATGATATGATATATTTTTAGCTAACAGGAAAGTCATTGACTATCACATTTGCTCTAGGAGTAGTGTTTGTTGCTTCCTCGTCACACACTTCTCTTGACCGGCACTGTTAGACTGACTTGAAGACTTTCTCCTGTTGATGAAAATCAATGCAAAGGGAATAACAAATGCTAACATCAGAACACCACCAGTCATTTTGAACGAACTGGTATAGTTTCCTGTTTGATCTGCCATTAAACCTGTGGAAAATAAAGATGCAAAAGATACATGAGAGGCTTTCAGAGAAAGCGTTGCGAGACAAGATATTCTGTTGTGCTCGTGGGCCCTCCCCAGGGGCCTGTTCAGAACTTGTCATTTATTGAATGGTTCATGAAATGGAAAAGATACTATAAATGCAAAGGGGTCATGAAATTAGAACGATTTCTGAGGTTACTGTGAACTGAATTGCGACATTTCGTGGTTGTTTGAAATAATTTTGCAAGAAAACATTTACAAAGTGGACTTTTTTTAGAGCGCGAACATTTTCAAACATTTAAACTTCCCAAAGTGTGGTATTTTGAAAGTCAGTGGCTGATAGCTGGAGAAGCTGTCATTCCTTGTACAATCATTGTATCTCTTCCTTCTATTTCCTATTTTGCATTATGAACATTTTTTTACCGTTTGCTGTCATGCAAAGAGCCTGTAAAAGGGCATATGAACTGCTATGCAAAAGCCTTTTCATGCTTTTTCCGCCTACTTTAAGAGAAAGGAATCTACTTTTTTACAACGTCAGATAGGAAATATCCATATCCTTTCTTAGGGAAAATAAATCCTTGGATAACAAATACAGGTAAATGAGATGGTCGATAGTTCAGAGGTGATAAGTTTTGGCAATCGGAGGAGAGTACCTCTACATATCTGTCTAGAGAAAGTCTTACCAGCGATTGGCCCGCCAGTCGCAACTGAAAATGAATAAAGCAGGCATTCGATACAAAATGCAGCAGTTTTTCTCTTTTCATCCACGCAGCTAAGTGGGATGTAATTCGCTGTTGATATAAAAATTCCATCGCTTGTTCCATATGCACAGCTAAATACAACTAAGGCCCAATATTTGGTTGCGTAAGGTAACAGGAGCACAGATACACCACCGATAAACAGCGACGACTGATAAACAAATACTGGGTTAATCGTTGGACTGTTGCACAGTTTTCCGGACAGAATTCGTGCAAGTGATGAGGTGAGGCCAATGAAGATAAACAGTCGAGAGGCACTTTGCGCTGTGATCCCAAGATCCTCACAGTACTTGACCTGGGTAAAATTAATACTGGTGTTAAGTAACGATGATATAATTTTTCAACAGTGAATACAAATGAGAAAACAAAAGTAGAAATTCTCGTAATTACACAGATTATCAACATAAACATCCAGATTTGAGAGGGAATACTCAGTGTTCAAAGGTTGTCAGTTGAATTTCGTCTGAAAATGTATCAATCACATAACAGCTTCGCGGATAAATATCCGAGCATAGTTTCCCGCCAAACCAGGGCTTTTATTTACTCAGATTTGTTTACTCATAATTCTTTTCCAGAACAGAAGTATTTGTAAGACTCTGCGTAGCTATATACTAACCAGATTTAATTGAGGAATGAACATTCCAAAACTTGCCACCGATACAGAAATGACAACAAAAGTGTAAACAGGATATGTCCACACGCTGCAGTAAAAAGATATTCTACCCTTACTTCCTACTTGTTGTTCCAATGTTTCCAATTCTACATCCACCAACGATGTCATTTTTACAACATACGGATTGAAATTCAAACTCAAAATACAAACAAGAGCGAAGGTTGCCGTCATTATTCTAAACGTGTTTCTCCAACCAAATGCGTCCAAAAGAGCCTGAAGTAACGGGCCTGTGTACAAGACACCTACACTCGACCCCAATGCAGTTATACCAACAGCTACTGAGAGAGTTTTTGTCGAAATACTTTCCAACTGCGAGATAGTAAGAATTAAAAATGAAGCAGGCCCCCAAACCGTACACCAAGCTGTAAGTAAAGTACATCAGAGTGAGGCTATTGGCGAACGAAGTCGCTACCAAACCTGCAATGCACATGATTCCTCCCATAAAACATGTGATGCGACATCCAAAGTGATCACACAAATATCCAGCCGGCAAACTGGCAAACCAAACCATGGCCAGGCCGATGGAGCCAACCCAGGCTGTTAAAAAGATGATTTTCACTGATATTAGTTCCATTCATTTCAGTAGTTTAAGTACCAATACAAAGTCAGCTGGATATCTTTTTAGGAAAAACATACCGTAACGGTTGTTGACATTTCAAGAGAGTGATATTATGTTCCTCTTCAGACAGAATTCAACAACAACCATGCCATCTGGGATAAATAGCCATGGTGTTATAGTGCTTCACTAATTCCAACTTGCATTTCATCGATAAAAATATATCATCTCAGCGTGGTAGGTTTTATTTTCAAAAACTGCCCAAGTCTAGTGTCGCATCTTATCTGCGTTATGAGCCAGGATGCTCGTGGGTCACGTATTAATAAGATCTTAGAGGTTTGTGCAACACCGGAAACTTCTTTATTACTATCATTTGCATACTAAACATCTGTGGCTTTACACTTGGTTAAGAAAGGTCACTTTAGAAGACATTTCATAGTAATTGTTTAGAAAACCTGAATTCATTTGTTTACGCTTCCAAGATTTCCAATGGATCATTTCAAGGGATTTGCTCACTCTATTCTTGATTTTCCAGCATCACTTCACTGAATTGATGCAAAAGTTCTCTTACATATCACATTTTCGATCTGCAGCTCATGCAGCAGATATTAATTTATCAGCAGAGGGCCACAAGCTTATTGTTTATATGAAAGACTCCCTCATTAGTACTCTGCGGGAGAAGACTCTTCAGGCTTAAATAACTCAAGGCCGATTATTTAAACGAAAGCTGTCGAAGGCCTCAATCATAGACAAACAGTGGATCACAAGAATTCATTATGGATGCGTTGTTTTTTAAAAATGAACAATCGTCTTCATCGTATACTACAGTTCTTCTTAAACAGTTTGCAAAAATCAACGTTTTTAGTGAAAAAGCGTTTAGCTTTATTGAACATGGTTTACTAAAACCAAGGTTTGCATTACCACGGCTCCAGTAAGTCTTAAAATTAAAAACAAGACAGAAAAAAAAGAAGCGGTCTCCTGTCGCTCCAAAGCTGTTTCGTTTATTCATAATGGTTATTTACATAATTGTCTCATAGTGCGCCCTCAGACCTAAGTCAGTGTTCTGATTAGAATTGAACGACAAAATCAGCGCTTAGTTTATAACTTTCTGTTATTGAAAAAGATTTATGATCAGCATACCTGTCCTTTCTCTTGTGGCATTAAAGTGCCTCATCAACTCCGGGAACAAAACTCCAAAGCTGAGTGTAAAGCCAAGGTTGATTGCATTACAGACAGTCGCCGAAATACACACGACCCATGACCACGAGCTATCTTGGAACCTTTTACCACTAAAGATACGCTTCAGCTTTTTAAAAGTGTTTTCTTCACCCATTTGAATCGAGTTTTCCTAAGGTTTCCTTACTTAAGAGAACTCTCTAAGATTACTAAATTAAGTCGAGCGAAAAAAATGGGGTGAATTGTAACCATGCGCCTCCGTATGCAAATAAAGCCGTCTCATGTACTTCAAAACAACATCACGCCAAGAGCGAAATTTGATTGACGAATCAAATCATCTCCGGGTCTCGGCACCAGTTTCGGAGAAATCAATCAGACTGAACTGTGTATGATCTTGTGTTTATTCCAGTTAGTCAAGACTTTTTTATCTCATTAGTGACGTACATAATGAACACTAATTATACGTACATAATTAGCCTTTAATGTACTGATTTCATTACACCTATCATTGAATTTGATCACGTTTTCTGCCAAAATGTGTCATTATGTTGTCATCATGTTTAGGTAGCTTATCGCATGGTACACGAAGTTTCAATGTAACGCTCCCTCTGATTGGTTAATAAGGTTGAATGATACCTTAAAAAAGGCAAAAATTTCGAAGTTTTACCTAAACATTTTATTGCTGGAAAAGGTTCATATTTCACTCGGTATTAACGCCACAGTTTCATTTTTCATGAAAATGTTATTTGTTGTCCAGTATTTACTCAGAGATTGAACAGTGGGTTTTCAAACCCAAATACAACTTTTAAATGCATTTTCCATCAAACTGCATTTTGATAGAACTCCGAGTAGCTCAACATGTTCAGTTCAAAAACTATGTAAGATAATTTCATGAAATTTTTCACAGAAAGTCTTGAATGCTGCTTCTGTACAATAAACCTAAAACAAAGTACAAAGGTAAATTGATGATTCAATGGTCGGCAAATTTTTTTCCAGAAGGGGCCCATTATTTGTTTATGTGAAAGTTTTTCATTATTTGACATGGTTATAATCCTGTTGTATAAAATACTTTAGGTTCATTGCACAGATCCATCTATGCATAAGATATCCTGAAAATTTCAGAGCCATGGGATTTTTTTGTTATAAACTTATTGTTGTTGGTGTGATGTCTATGAAATGAGGGTTAGGTGGGCGTGGTCCTGTTGCTATAGTAACAGATGGTGTCAACAACAGTGCCAAACAATTTCTCTCAGTGAGTGTTATCACTGGAGGGACTAATAAAAATGTTTCAAATAATGCAAAAAATTTCCCTTTTTGAAGGTATCATACCTCTTAAGACAGCGTGCTTCTTTAGAGTACAGAAGAAACATTAGGGCGTTGTTGTTGTTCTCCATCTTAAGTACATTCGTGCTCCAGGGTGAGGAGGGACTGGTGAGGCCCATGTCGCTAGTTTAGTTTCACGATCCTAACTGTTGCGAAATAAGCTTTTAATGACTGACTTAGTCGTCATATTTGTTTCCACGACACCACAGCCCACCTCAAGTGTCTTTCGGTGGGCTATCACTCATGTCACACATGGGTGATTTGCTGTGGTTTCAAGCCGGTTTACGACCTGATCGCGTATTAGTCGAAAATATTAATTTGTTCTTGGTAACCTATTTTCCAGTCTATTCATAAGCACAGACTACTCAATGAAGAATTACAAAAAATTTTATCTATTGTAGTGTCATCTACCTATGGGCGGATTAACGAAAACTTGACCCATGATTGTATAAAAAGGCGTCTTGGGGAGGTTTCATTTACCCGAAGATTGTCCGAGATTGTCTGGCGCGTCCATAAGCGTTTACACGTGACGTTTAATAAAGTCCAAAATTAACACGTGGCACGTGAATTTAAAAAAAGGTGCGAGAGTAATTCGTGAATTTATGAATAAGCGTGAGGCGTGGTTCCCCTCCTCAAATATACGCTATCCGTGAATTGTTTCTTTCATAGAGATCACAACATGTACAAGCGACTCGTGATTATTTTTCCAATTTAACTTCAATAAAACTACTCACGCAAAATCGTACCTAAGGGACCTGACCAGTCATTACTTATCTTGGGGGGGAGGGGGTGAGGAGGATTTTGGGGGATCACATGGCTTTCAGTGGAACAGAGCGGGGATCAGTTGTCGCTAACAAAGTATAAAGTGGGGTGGATTATGGAAACTTGACTGCAGCAGAAGACATTAAAAACAACCAAAACTTTAAAAGACTCTCGTGGGTTTATTGTGTTGCAAACACACTTTATTCTTGCTTCTTATTATAACAAACTCGTGCTGCTGGATATTAGCACCGTTCCTCCACTCGGTCTTGGTCCATTAAAACGCAAAAAAAAAAGATAACTCGGCTACTATCCAACTATCTTGAGCTCACGCTGACGTGGTCAATAAAGCATATACATCAAAAGTGAGAAATTTCAATCTTTAAAGCCCGGTTCTAAGAAGGAAACACTCAAGTCTGGGTAGAAAAAGACTCTTTCCGTTGCTTCTAACATAAAATTTCCACAGCTTTTTCCCATGCAAATAAAGAAAGTTGAAGCGCTTCACAGCTTTGTGTTATATCAACTGATCTCTTTTAGTCATTCGTTCGTCCTATTAGCGCTTTTGTTCATAAAATTAGATCTCGTTCAAGGCAAGCTAATCACATGCTATTCACCTTACATAATAAGCCTTCGATTTCAAAGGCAACGAGGCTTTTCAGTTTTACTATAAGAGACGAAAGACTTTTACTCCGAAGACACTGTTGAATTTGTTGGAAAAGATGGATGCGTCGAGATTTAACAGCCTGTGTATGTCTTAGGTGCCATGATATTTAGTGCGAATATTTTTCAATTAGCTCTGAGCAGGGAAGTTACCGTAAACGTCCATGTATAAGCCGCATCCGTAGATAAGCCGCACCCCCGATTTGGAAGCGCAGAATTTGGAAAAAATAAAAACAATACAGTTTGAAGTTTCAGTAGAGTTGTATTGCTACAAACAATCAAAGTTTCGAAACACCGACATAGAAGTTGTGACTATCTTTCACATTTATCAAGTCTAAAGAAAGCGAAACAGAAAAGAAAACAGACAATTGCTTGGTAGCCAAGCTTTAAATGTTAGGAGGAGTCTGGGCCAGGGCCTGGCCATCGTCCACTAAGCTGTTCGGGGATACCACGTGTAGAAAGATGTTTGGAAACCCGCTATAGGCGAAAAACTTCATGCAGAACAGGAGCCTGATAATGCAGTCGACAAATTTGCCATGAAGGTAGTAAAAAAACAACGAGAGAGTTGTTCGCGTAAAGCGAAAATTAATCGCTTGAAAGAACTGTTGGAGAGCAAGATTCGCCGATAAACACTCAAAGACACAAACGGCTCCTTTAGGAGCCACCACTCAATGAAAAGTCAATGAACTACAGCAACACGCTCTCAGTTTCTTTTATGTTTACTTCTTGGCATCTTAAGAAGTTTTATGAATATTAATTAGGTTTTTGAGAACTCCAAACACAGATGTATCCATGGATAAGCCGCACCCTTGATTTTTGGCTTCAATTTTGTGAAAAAAAGTGCGGCTTATACATGGACGTTTACGGTATTTGCTGCCACATCGACTCTTGGAGCAGTACACTTTGCTTCTTGGTTTTTCGTTTCTCTAGACGTTATTGGGCTGACTCGAGACTTTCTCCGGTTGATGAAAATCAGTGCAAAGGGAATCAAAAATGCAAAACATCATAGCACCGTCGGTCATGTAAAAGGAATTAATGTAGTTCCTTTTTTGGTCTGCCATCAGTCCTGTGCAAATTAACGCAAAACCAAAGAAAGAAAGATTAGTATGAAACATCCAGATCAAATGTTACGAGACGAAGGTGGAAAGGTTGGTGAGTTGGAGAAACGATTCTTGCAAGAGCCTGTCTCTAAACTTGTAAATTGTACAAAAGGTAAGAGAGCGCTATTCGATTGAGTGTTGTAAAACCAAAAACAGAGTAATCAAAGAAGGCCAATCAGAAGGAGAAAAATTCCTATAGGAGGCAATAAGGACTCAAAGATAAAACAACCAAACCGCCTAAAACGCGGGGACACTCGGGCGACCAAGTGACGTGACCAAGTGACGAAAGTTTTCAAAATCAATCACAGAGCGCGACAAAAGAAAAAGAAAAAAAAACCAAAGCAGTCCTGGATTACTTTCTTTACTAAATCAAAATGGCTCTACCTCAAAAAAGGTATCCGGTTAGATCGCACCATGGTTATATCGCTCCCAGTTACATCGCTCCAAACAAAAGTTAGATCTCTCCACTCGAAAGTTAGATCGCTCCATCAAATAAGTTACTTAGCTCCCAATACAAGTTATTTCGCTCCATGTTATTATGTGACGTATTACTTACCACTGATCTTTGAAGATTATAGGTGATGTTGTGTCTTACGACGATTCGATTACATCGTATTCACTCTGTCCCTCAGATTAGCCACCGAGCTACCGATGTATGATGTATAGCGATAATCGAATAAATGATCGTGGAATAAGTTATAGTTATAGTTAATTTTAGAACGTCGGAAGTGTATTTAAATATATCATTACTGTCCAGTGTGGCACTTTTTGCTGTTTGATGTCAGGACACTGATAATTAAAAAAGTATATTACACTTCGTGAGTCCTTTACATGAGGCTTTATTTGTTCTTTCTACGTAGCTCGCATTTTATTTAAAGCCCGCGTGAGCGATATCAATCGATTGTTAGGTAAGATATCCATGTCATTTAATGAACAGTCAAATTAGATATTTTCATGTCCCATGTTATTTACTTGTAAAAGGTGGCTGCTATGCAACATTTGACGTTCATCTGAAATAAACGATAAAGGAAAACATTTACCGAAGGGAAACCTATCCCCTTTCAAGATGTGGCATTTCAAATGCTAGAGGCCTAAAAACTGGGAATACTTTCAATTTTTGCATGCTCATTATATTTCTGCATTCTATTTCGCACCACGACTATTTTTTTCGAAGCTACCTAACAAAAAAAAATTGTATTGGGCATTTACTGCCATGTGAAAGTCACTTACCGTGTAAACTGCGATAAAAGCCGCAACAACACACGTGAAAAAATACGATTATTTTTCACGTGCATTTGACATCACTAATAAGCTGCTGACACGTCACTGAGAAAATCGACTTCTGGAAGGCGAGTTTGCCAGAAGGCCGATTTTGGCCGTGTATCCAGAAAGATTTCTTCTGTACAGGGGAAAAGGTCAATGACTAATAATTTTGTAAATTGAAAGTTACGCCCATTGTTTCAACTCTTGTAATGATTCAAAGCATTTTTCATCTTGAGCATTACATCGCCTATCTTTTTTCATTCATAAATCTTGGGATTTTCGCACAGTTTTCCTGACAGAATCCGTGGAAGGGATGAGGTAAGGCCAATGAAGATGAACAATCGAGAGGCACTCTGCGCCTTTATCCCAAGATCTTCACAATATTTGACCTATACCCCATTCACACCGGCAAAACATGTTTTGTTAAACTGGTTTTCATTGAATGAAAATTATAAACAGAGAACTGAAAAACTTGATTTTCCATTGGATTCAAGTACTTGCTAACTTGCATTTCCAATGTGCTACATTCAAGTCAAAAATATTCGGTTAAATAGTTTCTATGAAGAAAAAAAAAATTAAACCGTGTTTAACAAAACAACTTTTAAACATGTTTAAGCTTTGGTGTGAATGGGGCACTAGTTAGGATTTATACAGATTGTGGCTTCATAAATTTGTCAATGGAGCGTACGGAGAGAAGAGGAGACGGCAGAGTTGAGTTACAGCATTGACGACGTCTTTTTTATTTCAGATTGATCTTTCGGTCTTTTAATCTCGGTTCAGAGAACGTTCTAAGGAAATTATTTTTTTATACCGCTTTTCTTTTGTGAAAAAATGTCATGGCAACCTACGCGCCGCATTGCTCCCTGCTGATGTTCACCTATTCATTAGGCAAACATCAGCGGGGATTGTGATTTCAGACCTTCCACCGTGTGTTGCAAAAGATATTATAAAATAATTCAAATAGTACGCGCGCTCTGATTGGCCATAAAACCGTTTGACATGAGCGTATGTAAACACGGTTTTCGTTCCTCTTTCATTAGTTATTTTATAAAAGAAATGTAAAATGGTTTCCGTGTTTACTCGATAAGCTGGAAACCACTCCGCTTCGCGTCGTGGTTTCCTACGCTTATCTCGTGTTCTCCCAACCTCCCGCGTGTTTACATCAGGCTATGTAAACACGGAAACCATTTTACATTTCTTCAACAGTTACTTCGTTAAAGGAATTGCCTCATAATGGAAAATATTATGGCTATCGATCCTTAACAACAACGAAAGGGCTAGCTTTCACGAGTTTGCCCTAATAGCGAAATGTAAAAAAGTGCAGTTTCTCTGTTCCAGGCATATACCATGACTATATCAGAGTAGGCAAAAACATGTAATTTAGTTTTAACAACTGAGTTGAAAACGTAAATTAGCCACCGTAAAGAGTTTAAAGGTTGACTTTTTGACCGTTAGCCCTTCGTCAGAGCGATCGGAGGAATTTTGGGTTGTGTGTGGGTTTATGTGCAGATAATGGAGCTACGCTATTGTAGGGAATATGGTGATGAGAAAACAAGCATAAATCAGTTGAATGAATAGCGCTCGTTGATGCCGTGGGGATTGGAAAATAATTTTGTTGAAGTGTTTTGCGGCTTTCCGAGCTGGCTAGATGTAGGGAAAGGCCGCAAACTGCCATATGCTGTTCAGAATGACTAGGGAGATTAAAGTGTCTAGCGACTGGTTTGAATGCGTCCTTGTCAATTTCTTTCTACGTCGCGAAGGTGTGCACGGTGGTCTTCCTGTTTTACCAATGTATAACTTTTTGCAATAAGTGCAAGTTATGCAGTAAGTGACATTGGTGGAGGTGCACGTAAGGTGATCAGTGATCTTAATGGATCTCTTGGGTCCCGACATTTTCTCTACGTTATGAATGCATCGTGAGCGAGCGCATTTGAAAGTTCCAAGTTGGTCATTGGTTTGAAATGAACTTCTGACCAAAAAGTTGCCTACGTTTTTGTCACGCCTTTTTGACTGAAATTAGTGGAGTTTGCGAAAAGATTGTACCAGTATCTGAATCGTTTTGGAGTAATTTCAAGTTTTTAAGAATGATAGATTTAACTGCGTGGTTGTGAGGGTGAAATGTGAGAGTGAATGGAATGCGGTCACTGTTTTCCTTTTCAGCCGTTTGTAGTGCTGACTGTAGACGACTCTTAGACGTTTCAGTGACAGTTTACGGCATATTTGAATCAGTTTTAAATTGGTTTCTGGCGGTTTTAAATGTTTTTTTTACGATTTATAAAATCCGTATATTAAGTCGAGTCAGAAGTGTGTCATTTTACTTTCATTCCTACAAAAACGTTCGAAATCGCTAAAAATCGTTAGTAACAGCGCTTTAATCGTCGAAAGCAGCATATTTGTAAAGAATGACCAGAAGTTGACAGGTTTTAGGGTCATCAAAATGATCTTGTTTCAATTTTTTCTTGAAGCCTCTCTATGGTTCGCCGGCCACCTGAACTCTTCATTCCTCACTCCTCATCTGAACACTCGTCAAGGTGTGAGCTGATCACGTTTCAAGCTAAAGAAAACTTACCAAAGTTTTCCAATTCTTTGTTTTTCCTTTTGCTTGTAATTAAAAGTTTGGTTGTAAGTTAGCGTATAAAATATCATGATTTTGTGTAATATTTTTTTAGAAACACTTTTCTTACCGATTCTTTTTATTATAATTAACCATTCATTCATCGCTGAAAAGGAAACTAATTATGGCAACTTAGCTTTGCAAACGTTATCAGGTCAAGGTATAGAGTATCGCTAAAATTTGAAATCCTTTATCCTTAAGATGTCGATAGGAAGTACTGTTTAAAAATTTTTATTTTTCTGTTACATGTAAAAGAATATTATTTCATACCATTCATGTAATTCTAATTATTTCATTCCTCATAACGATGATCAAACATTCAAATTAATATTCACTAAGCATTGGGTGTAAAACGATAACACAATTTTGCTTTAATTATGGTAAGTGAGATACAATTTCATTTTTTAATTGGTGCCGTTTTATTACATTACTTTAATTTGACATTATCACCCTCCTTACTGTTTATTCTTGTTTAATAACTTACTGGGTATTAAACAATGATGTTTTTCATAGCCTCTTTTAATATTAATAGCGAAAAAACTCTAACGTGTAGAGTTAAGTTTTAACTTTTTGCACTCGGCCTATTTCCAGAGTGGCCCTGCTTGCTTCGTACGTTTTATTAAATGTACATATTGTAGAAGTGCATTTTTCTGGACAAGTTATTCATTTATATCTGAATCAGGAATCATCCTTTTAAACAGAAATATATAGGAATTTTTGCAACCCAGCTTTACAAATATTCATGAAATTATCAGTATTGAGCTGTCGTGTGCGCCCTCTGTAAATACATCAGGACCTTTCGAAAACAGTCGGCCTCCATTAAATTGAAATACCCTATTCTTATTATCTAAATAGGAGTATCTACATTTCTAGGCAGACAAACGAACGAGCAGTCCTGAATCAAGTAATTTAGCAATAACTGCACAAACTAATCCTTTCCTATTTTAGTACACGCATTTTATTTCAAATACTCGAGTTATCACTGAAATCGGAAATTCTTTATTTTCACGATATTGATGGGAAGTATTGTTTCATATTTTTGTTTAACTGTAATGAGTAAGCAATTATTTCACGTCATTCATAAAATTCGTATTATTTCGTACCTCATGACGTTATGTAAACACTCAAGTTATTACCTATCACTAAACAGTGGACGTGATAAGTAAACGCAATTTTGCTTTAATTACAGTGTATGTTTATCGAAGCGTTCATTTCATTTGAATTGGACTCCTTTCATTATTTAATTCTTAATACTCGTATTTAATAAAAAATTTCCTAATTTCCAAGGGTAAATTTTTACCTGAGTGTGACAACTGTCAAACCCTAAAAGTCCCATCCACTTTGAAGTGTTTTGACGTCGTTTGTGTTAAAGTGTGAGTTTTAAGCGTTGTTTTAAGATTATTGGTTTTACTAATCAACCTAGAGTGATTTTAAACGTCTTGTAATAAACACGAATCTTTAGAATTTTTTGGTTCCCTTCTTTGAAAACAAATTATGAAAGTTAACAATAATTTAAAAATTGGTATGTTTTCCAGCACATAAGCAGACAACCATTTCCTGTTTCTAAGATGCGACTGATGCCTCTTACATGTTTTACCATTTGCAAATTAAAAATTAATCAATTTTTTGCTCATGTACAGATGTCAATTTTACATTGGATTATTCAAAAATCTGAACCACTTAAAACGAGATAGACCATTGCATTCGTTCAGTTCTTCGCCGAGAGATAACCTATAACGAAGAGTTGCTGCAAAGTCAGTAGCGGAGGAAACTGAACAACGAAGGCCTAAGGGAGTGAGTAACGCTTGTAAGTTTTTTGCTTTTCGTGTTTGATGCAAGATGCTATTATCGGAGACACATCTGAAAACCCTTTTTTCGTATGGAAATGTTTATTCCTTTCAATCCCCGTACGCCGTACATGAGCATTCTAACTCACAAATCTGAATGTTAGAACAGGGATCTTTTCAAGGCCGGATTCTTACAAATTTGTCACCCAAGAGATAGATCTTATAGAGTCCAGCTAATCCAGTTCTCACGCAGCTTCTAACATTTTCAAAATCCTTGATAATTTGAAGAAATAAAGAGCAAGCACTGCGAGTAAACTGTCTCGCTTGGAAACTCAACAAAGTGACCCTCAACGAGGACTCGACCCAAAACCGCCCAACCCAAAATTGCTTCATAAATTCATATGAATATCAGAATATTTCACTCAAAACTTATTGCGTGCTCATTTCATTAATATGCCCTTATGAATTCTTTGTTTGTTTGTTCCTTTTTCAAAGGAAAATGAAGAGCCTTGTCTTGTTGTCGATAACTTTGGCTCTGGCCAAGTCACTTCCACTCGAGACCGATCAGGACACCGAAGTCGCGCTGAACGAGGACGAAAAGATTGGTAAGTGCTTCAGTTTTTATCAGTTTTATTAGAATCTACCTCAAGTCTAACACGGCGTGCAACATCCAACAATAGTTTCACTAAGCAGACTTCTGTCATTTTGAAATCAGTTTCCTCCTCCTTTTAGTGAAAGGAGGGGCTAGCAATCTTTGGCGCATTCAGCTCTTTTAACAAAGTAAAACGATTTATATTTTCCTTTTTTTGTATATCTTTACTTGTCTTATTCCTTTGCATTTCTGGCAAAGCTCAATATAATATAGAGTGTTAAAATTTTATTTTAAATATACTCATTTTCCACAAGAAAATCAGCGTGATCTCAACCTCTCTTGTTTTTTAGAAACACTTGTTTTCGATCCCGAGGTATCAGATACAGCTGATAAGCTTGAAATTGCTGAAAGAGGTAAGTCCGTCATAATCTGTCGATGATTGCAAAGTTTTTTTTTTTCTTTACCTTTTCAAGGTAATACAAAATATCGTGTTTTCCAATGTTGCTGTGAGTTGTTCTCAGTGGACTGACTCCCCATCAATAATATTCTGCATGAACTAGTTCATGCCTAGCTTCGATAAGCGATAGTGAAAGGAGGGGCTAACAATCTTTGGCGCATTCAGCTCTTTTAACAAAGTAAAACGATTTATATTTTCCTTTTTTTGTATATTTTTACTTGTCTTATTCCTTTGCATTTCTGGCAAAGCTCAATATAATATAGAGTGTTAAAATTTTATTTTAAGCATAATCATTTTCCAGAAGAAAATCAGCGTGATCCCAGCCTCTCTTGTTTTTTAGAAAAACCCGTTTTCGATCCCGATGTACCGACTGATTATCCGGGCGGTCAAATATATACGATCGGCCGGCTCAAAAACAGAAATAGTGATCGCTAAAGTAATTCCTAGTTTTGTTCTTGGATATAGTTCAGTGAATGCCCAAAAAGAGAAAGTGATTACCAAAACGTCTAAATTTGATAACTGTACTGTCTCCTTTTTTTTTTCTTACTAATTTATGACTCAGTTAAAGCTTTGTTTGTTTGTTATTTTTTTTTCGATAAAACTTTATTTGAATATTGCTACTTTTCAGATACTGCTGATAAGATTGAAATCGGTGAAAGAGGCTATTATCATGGTAAGTCCATCATAATCTGTCGATGATTGCAAAAGTTTTTTTTTTTTTTTTACTTTTTCAAGGTATTACAAAATATCATGTTGTCCTATGTTACGGTGAGTTGTTGGTGGACTGACTCCCCATCAATAATAATTCTGCATGCGCTAGTTTATGCCTAGCTTCGATAAGTGCTTCAATAATTTGGACTCGTAAAGTGATACGCAAAGCTTTCGGAGCTTGTAGCCTGTTTTAAATATAACGGAATGACAAGTCGTTACTAAATTTCATTTGAGTACACTCACTTTGCAGCGAGGCCTGATTAGCTCTGTTTCCAGGTGCGAACGTTTTTAACCAAGCGTAAGGCATTCCCATTTCCTTTAACCGTGCTGAAATTTCCATTATGAACAGAAAGCAAAGTCTGTCCCGTTTCCCTTTTTCAAATGAAGAGGCTGTTAAGTGAGTTTCCCTCCCTCTCAAATTTCGCTACTGACAGGAAGCTAGAGAAAAGCAACTGGCGCGAGAGCGTGCCTTATTCAAAATTAAGTTTAGATAACAATAAATGCGAGACCTCTATAGTTCTTTATGTAGCCCAAGTAGTGCTGGTGGCCGTTAACGAAGCCCCAACCATGAAACAAGGGTGTTCAATTACCCGGAGGAAAATTCTGCTATAACGACGACTATCCTAAACAATCCTGAAACTGACCAGTTGAAAATTTATAATGCGGGGTGAAAATTGAGCTCCTTTGTTTAAGCTTCTTGTTGCTGGTAATTGCATATTTTTAACATTCTGATCCTTGAAGGACGATTTCTGGTGGTTACACAACCTTGCCGTAAGAATTTATTTGATATGAATTAAGATGGAGTCTTATTTCTTTCGACCTGCAATTAAATTACTAAGTAACGGTTAATTTGTTTGCTACGTGGATTTTTGTGTGCCCATGTTTTCAATTGTTAATTAAGCTTTAGAAGTGGATGTGCGTTAAGTCAAACTTTCACTTCTTAAAACGGTACGATGTGAACGTCAAGAACATCCTAGTAATAAGAGGAAATTTAAATTTTATCATGTGTTAGGAAAAGGCTTTGAATTAAATTGGGGAGTTGCGGAAAAATTATACTTTTGTAAAAAAAAAAAAAAAAAAGATATTTTGAAGGAGAAAATGACCAATTTGTGTCCTCACAAGACCTCAATCGAAAAACAGACAAATCAGTCATGAGTCCAAAGGAATTATTTTGAAGCTAACCTCATAGAGTCTAACTCAGATGCAAAGTTTCCAAGATATCCGTGAGATGGCCCAAAATTTTGTGAGGATGTTAGAGAAAGAGCCTCTTAAAATAATTGTGTTTTCTGGTAAAATTTGACGTTGTTGAAATCTTAACTCTTAGGTATTAGCAAGGGAATATATCTCATTGAAAACTTCGAAACAAAGCGCCTCTTGTTCCAGGACGGCCCTAAAATAAAAGGGTCTCGTGGAGCAGAAAAGGGGTGGAAGGCTCATACAGGCTTCAAAGCACCAGCTGTTGTCGGCGCTGATGCAAATTACTACAATCGAGCTTACTGGAAGATCATTCCTCAAGGTGGTGGCAAATACCTGATTGAAAACGTCGAGACGAAAAGGTACTTGTTTCAAGATGGTCCTGCCATAAAAGGGCGTCGTGGAGCAGAAGCTGGGTGGGCGGCTCATACAGGCTTCAAAGCACCTGCTGTAGTCGGAGCTGATGCCAACTACTACAATCGAGCCTTCTGGGTGATTACTCCACTAGGTAGTGGCAGGTACTTCATTGAAAACGTCCATACGAAGAGGTTCGTGTTTCAAACTGGTCAACCGATTAAAGGGAAGCGTGGAGCAGAAGGGGGATGGAAGAATGCTTATGGCCTTACTTCACCTGCTGTTGTCGGTGCTGATGCCAACTACTACAACCGAGCCTATTGGATACTACACAAAGTGCATTAGACTGATAAAAAAATGTGCCAAGAACGTTAGGGGTATCAGCTAAATGGAACTATCGGTAGCTTTTCCTGGGTTGTAGTGCAAGTTTGTCAAGCTTTTGACTGTACTATGAAAAATAAAGGCACAAATTAAAAGAGATGATCTAGTTTGCATGGATCTATAGTCGAAGACAACTGATGAAGAAGGAAATCAAGGGATAAGAAATTAATTCTTTCTTCCCATCCCCTTGTTAACTTATATTACGACCAGTTTTCATAGGCGACTTTTCGTGCAGGTCTTGCATGATGAAATGAGAGTTTTAAAGTGGCATTTTCAGGCTTTGGAGTGAGCCCATTCAATTCCATCGCTTTTGAAACAATCAGAAGCAACCACAACTATCGAAGGGCATTTTCCTTTGAAAATTACAGTATGTGGTATGTGGTTAGTATCAAAAATTTCGTATCTCACTGAGTAAAATTTAGCTTTGTGTGCATCGACTATCATGCACCAATAGCTTGAAGTTTAGGTTTAAAAAAAAAAAAAGGAAACCTGAATCACAAGCAAAAAATCCATTAATTAGAAAGGTAATTTCTCACTCTGTTAATAATCTTTAAAACCGGACGAGCTGTTCCGTTTCCGCTTAATAGGACAACTTAAATCCTGCTTGAACATGAGACATCAGCACTGGGCTCCAGAGAACAAGCTATAGAGTTTGAGGGGTTTATACCACAAAGTCTTGTAGCAATGGCTATTGTTTAAGTTGCTTTTCAAAGTATCGAAATTGGGTTATTTGCATATTTCGACACCTCAGAGACTTTGCAGAAAGTAAATGAATCGGCGCAAATTAATCACTGTCTAGAGGCTAATAGTACAGAGTACAGTTTGCTTGTGGTTAGCATCTATTTCAACGTTAGATTCACTATGTATGCTTCTGCTTCCAGGATGGTTGTTAAAGGAACACGCCGACATTTTAGCTGGTCAGGTATCTGACGTCTTGAACTACTCGTACCATGAAGGACGCTTGCCATCGTCATGGAAGCACGCATATGTATTTCCCGTGCCAAAGCAAAAGCCCGTCCGTGAAGTAAATAAGCACTTACGCCCTATTTCACTAACCCCCATTTTTTCAAAGATGTCTGAAGCTTATGTGGTTGACACTTACGTCAAACCTACTGTGCTGGAGAGGATTGATCCTCAACAATTTGGAGCCGTACCTAAATCTTCTACTACGCATGCGCTTATCAGTATGTAACACTCCTGGTTGGAATCGACTGATCGAAATGGTGCTATTACGAGAGCCGTACTGTTTGACTTTCGCAAAGCCTTTGACTTAATTGATCATCATGTCCTAGCCCAAAAGCTCTCTTCGTATGACTTTCCGGAATCGATCATGTGCTGGATCTTGGATTTCCTTACGAATAGAAGGCAAAAGGTGAAATTGAGTTGTGGTTGTGTATCGGAATGGCGTACTGTACCAGCAGGAGTTCCTCAGGGGATTAAACTCGGCCCCTGGTTATTTCTAATAATGATTAATGACCTGAGTGTGGCGAATACAAACATCTGGAAGTATGTAGATGATACTACCCTACTACATTGAGGTTGTTCCATCCGCTAAATCACTAGGTGTTATTATATCTAATGATGTAAGAAAGTCGCAGCGCGTCTCTACTTTCTTAGGCAATTAAAGCGCGCGAAAGTGCCAGCTAATGACCCTCTAAGTTTCTACATCACTTGCATACGCCCAGCTGCAGAGTATGCATGTCCAGTCTTTCATACCGCTCTACCGCAATATCTCTCCGATCAGTTAGAACGCCTGCAGAAGCGAGCACTACGCATAATAAGCACTAATGATTTATCTTATAGACAGGCTTTAGAGGTTTTAACATACCTACCTTGTATGACACGAGAGAGGCGATTGGTAACTCAATGTTTCTAGAGATAAGTAATAATAATAATCACAAGCTTTATTCACTACTTCCGCCACCTTACCTTAGTACGTTGCGAACACGGAAAAATCGCCAGTTCCGAGTCCCGCGTTTGAAAACCAATCGTTTTAGGGACAGTTTTATTGTAAGCCATTGCCGATAGCACGTCCTTGTACAACTCATATATATTTTTTCATCTGATTTCGAATAATTTTAGTTGTATCTTAATTAATTTAGTGTTTACATAATGATAAGCCTTATTATTGTCAAATTCTTATCAATTAACTTTCTAATTTATCATTAAATAATTTATATTATACAAATGTAAAACATAAATTAATTACAACTATAAATTATTTAATGATAAATTAGAAAGTTAATTGATAAGAATTTGATGAAGTACAAAACGTTCCAAACACAATGCGCGAACATTTTGATTTTCCTACCGAAATTTCCGTTTTTTCCGTCTAAATGGTAAGCACCCCAGGACTCGTATGGAATAATTTATTATGTACCTGGCATAGGTAATTGTCTGTTGTTAGAATACATCAGTTGGGCATAAACCATTCCCCCTTCACATAGTCCTGATGGCAATGAAACTGGCTCTGTTTGGCCACCTTATGATGTTTTACATGGACTCTATGCATCGCCTATCTACCACAATTAGTTATAATTTATGAGTCATGCAAGAAGTAAGGGTAACGGTTAACAGCGTACCGCTTTAGCCAAGACACAAGTTTCATTCCTTGGAATATTAAAATGAATAAGCCGAATAATTCGTTTGGTTTTTGGCAAGGATTTAACTGCCACAGCAAGTGGAACGACAGAACTGGTGCTCTTATTGGGATTATTGGCTTTCCAGCAAATGACCCATTCGAAGTCCAGAGTAAGGTTTGGTACGAGGGGAGGTTGGTTTGGCATGTTCGATTCGAATTCATGTGGAAAAGAGTTACAAACCACGGAGCACATAAGGGCATTTTGCTACATTTTTGTCCAGTAAAGTCTAAATACGTTGATGTAAATCATTGAAAAGGCTTTTACTGGCTAAGTATTTAAATAACTCCTAAAAACGGCTGATTACTGGGAACACAAAGCATTACAGGGCATTATCATGAGAAATAAAGCCGGCCCATTTTAACAAAAGCCATGGCCGAGAACAAATGGTACTTCATAGGTAGGTGGCTGTGACGGTAGGCGGAATGATCTCAATAAGGACTAACGTCGTCTTTTTGTCCGAATCTGCAAATTTTAAAGGATGTAATCCAATATTTATTTACAGAAAATGTAGCTTGTGCTTCATGCCTTTTTAATTAATAGTTTCCTAGAACAGATTGCGTTGCTCTGTTTGTGCTGATATCAACAAAATAATATTGAGAAATAGCACCCGCGCAGAGTCTGTTGTGTATTTGTTGTCGAAGATACCGAGCCGGCAACCCCGATACTTGATGATGAGGGTGGCTAGGGAGGTTCTTGATCCCTTGTTACCTTCACAAATTTTCCAGTGTTCTCTTGTTCCCGAAGCTTTTTCGAAATTGTCCCGATTGCGTTCAGCCGTCATTACTTTTCCATTACGGTTACAACACCGAGGCACTAGCTGCCGAATCGTAAACTTTTGGACCAAGTGATGGAAGCAGAAGCATACAAAGTGAACCTAACGTTAAAACAGATGCTAACCACAGGCAGACCGTACTTTGTGCTATTAGCCTCTAGTGTATAGCGGTGATTAATTTGATTTCAGCAATGTCTCTGAGGTGTCGAAATATGCAACTAACAGCCCAATTTCGATATTTTAAAAAGCAACTTAAGCAATTAAGGCATTACTACAAGACTTTGTGGTATAAACCCCTTTGTGGTAAAAACCCCACAAACTCTATAGCTCCAGAGCCCAGTGTTGATGTCTAATGTTCAAGGAGGATTAGAGTTCTCCTATAAAGCGGAAACGGAACAGCTCGTTCCGATTTTAATGATAATTAACAGAGTTTTTCTAATTAATTGATTTTTTGCATGGGAATCCGGTTTGCTTCCAACAGTTATGTGACAAAACACTTTTAAAAACCTCTGTTTTCTTAGATGAAATACGAGAGTTAAGACGGCTCTGCTTGATTAGGGGTATCAAATGGTCCATTGTAATCTCCAAGTGCTCGCAAAATTAAGGTCTTGCTCGATTTGCTCGCAAAATTTAGAAGGGTGCTCACTTGCTCATGCTCACAAAATTTTTGTAACTGTTCGTACGCTCGGATTCTGGATCACTCACAATTAAGTGAATCATACTCTATACATATTTTGGAGAGAAATACATATAAGTGTATCCTTTCAATGGGCTGAATTGGAGGTACCAAGGAGATCTTACTCCGTTTATACTAAAAAACAAATAATGAAATAAACTTGAGAAAGTGAAAACGGACTGCTGTCAGCGGAAAACTTTTGCAAAGTACTGCTGCTTTCCAGTTGTACGCCCTAAAGTGCTCGCTTATCGCAAGGAGAATTTCATCGCTAATCGGCTAAGGGGAAATTTTTGCTGTTTTCAGGAAAGAAAGACTTTATAATTGAAGATTTAACACTGTATATTCGACCAGTGGAGGGCATCACTTATTCTCTATTAAGAGAAAAAATAAAATCTTATTCCGAATTAGCGAAATAATTTCCTTTCCGATTTACAATAGACATATTTTAATTGTTCAATTTCGGTTTCCTAGTTTTCATCTTTCCCGTTTAAGTAACGTCCATTCACGCCGCACTTCACCTTTATTGTTTATGGATCAAATAGATGGTAAGGGTTTGTACCCGTGAAGTGGTTTATGTAAAAATTAAAGATTTTAGGTATAAATCTGTTGAAATATTCGGTGAGATCGAGGAACAATCGTCATTGTACAAATTATAGTCCTATCTGGAATGTTTTCGTTTTTTTGTTATTCTAAACCGAAAAAATTGAAGGGTAACTTTAAGCTATCGGTGCATAATAGTCGATGCACACAAAGCTCAATTTTACTCAGTGAGATATGAAATTTTTGCTACTAACCACATATTATAATTTTCAAAGGCAAATGCCCTTCGATAGTTGAGGTTGCTTCTGATTGTTTAAAAAACCATGGAACTTAATGGGCTCACTCCAAAGCCTGAAAAGGCCACTAACCATAAAACCCTCATTTCATCATGCAAGACCTGCATGGAAAGTCGCCTATGAAAACTGGTCGTAATATAAGTTAACAAGGGGATGGGAAGAAAAAATTAATT